CTGGTGTTATGTGGTCTCGGCAGCCACTCCCAATCACCAGTCTAGAAGCTGCATTCTGGATTAATTGCAGTTTCCGAGTCACGTTCAAAGGTAGCCCCACGTAGAGCGCATTGACATCTGGTTGGCCACTGTGAGAATAGGATGCCGGCCTAGATGGGCCATTGGCCTGATCCAACAATGTTCTTCTTAGGTTCTTAAATAATAATAAATAGAAGCCAAGGAGCAGCTCATAGAACGGTAGAATAATTTGTGATGGTCATTCCAGGAACTGCATCTTCTGAGAAATTCAGGGAACCTAGGGGGACGCTTTGCATGGAAGCCCCTTGCGTCACTCCCCGGCCCTCTGTCTTCCAAGGACCCGAGAGCAGATCACGGTCTGCTCCGCCCCTGCAGCCCATCCGCCCCAGAGAGTGATTTTCCAATGTGGTTAATGTGGCAACCATAAATCACAAAGGCGAGCGTAGGAAACGCAACTGCGGTTGTCTTAGTCACCCGCAGTTAAGCAAGCGGTGGTCAGTTCCCGAGCGCCACCAAACGGAATGTGCCCAGCGAGGCCCGGAAAGTCACAAGACAGGAGTCGGCGCCATCAGGGCTGTGGCTTGGTGGCGCAACAGGGCTTCACGTCACCTCTTCCCCACAGACTGCTGCTTCTGTCATCCCACAGCCCTGTACAAGATCTGCAGTATTATATAACAGCTGCCTTGTTGTCTTGGTCCATGGAGTTTTCATGGCAGGGATACTGGAGTGGCTTTCCGGTTCCTGCTCCAGGTGGATCACCTTTTTTTGTGGGATAAAAGCAATGACAAACCTAGACAGCATCTTTAAAAGCAGAGACATCACCTTGCCAACAAAGATCTGTATAGTTAAAGCTATGGTTTTCCCAGTAGTGAGGTATGGAAGTGAGATCTGGACCATAAAGAAGGCTGATCGCCGAAGAATGGATGAATTTGAATTCTGGTGTTGGAATTGACTCTTGAGAGTCCCACGGACTGCAAGAAGATCAAACCTCTCTATTCTGAAGGAAATCAGCCCTGAGTGCTCACTGGAAGGACAGATCCTGAAGCTGAGGCTCCAATACTTTGGCCACCTCACAAGAAGAGAAGACTCCCTGGAAAAGACCCTGATGTTGGGAAAGATGGAGGGCGCAAGGAGAAGGGGACGACAGAGGATGAGATGGTGGGACAGTGTTCTCGAAGATACCAGCATGAGTTTGACCAAACTGTGGGAAACAGTGGAAGACAGGAGTGCCTGGCGTGCTCTGGTCCATGGGGTCACGAAGAATCGGACACGACTAAACGACTAAGCAACAACCATAACAGCTGGCTTCTCCAGCCAGACCCATTCCCCCCCCCCAAGCATGGAGGGGATATGACAGCCAGCAGATGTTCAGGGAAGCTTGCACCCACAAAATTCCCCATGAAGGGTCCGGGCACCCACAAATTTCTATGCCAGGGCCTTGCACGCTGCGTGGCACCCACGGCCCTGGGCTTCCACAGTCTCAGGACCAAGTTGGCACTCCTGTCACAAAATATACTGTTGTGGGTTTGGGGGAGTCAGTCTGGATGATGCCCACTCAATTCCAGGGATCCTGTGTCTATGAGGCTAGAGCAACATGCCAAACCAATCCCTTTGTCTGCAGGCAGTGGTTTGGAGTGATTAGTTAAGCACCATGATTGGCGTAACCAAATAAGTTGCTCTTTGCCATAGAACAACTCCCCCCCCCCCAGCCCTCAGCTAGCTGCAAGGTAGGAGAACGATAGCCAAAGTTGTTCCCCTCCCCCCCATTACCTCCCACCCACCCAATTTTTATATGCACAGAGAATGGACTGCAATACCTCAAGGACCGCCTCTTCCCATATGAACCTCCCCAGACCCTGAAATCATCTTCTGAGGGCCTGATTTGTGTGCCTCCTCCTCAAAAGGTCCGGAGGGTGGCAACACAAGAACAGGGCCTTCTCTGCAGTGGCTCCCCATCTGTGGAACGCTCTCCCCAGGGAAGTTCGTCTGGCGCCTTCATTATACACCTTTAGGCGCCAGGCAAAAACATTCCTTTTTATCCAGGCCTTTGGTTGATCTGTTTGACATCCTATACCCTTTTAAAATGTGGCTCTTTTTTTGGGGGGGGGGGGGGTGTTATTGGGTTCAGGGCCAGATTTAGGTTTGATGAGCCCCTCAGCTACTGAAGGTCAAGGAGCCCTTTATATGTCCAGCTGTCCTTTGCCAACAACAAACTGTCACTGTTTTTTTGTGTGTTCAATATATGCTGTATGGTAATTTATGGACCTAATAGGTATCTCAAGCCATTTGCACATAACAAAATATGTATTTTATCAAAGTAATTGTTGAACTGAAATACAATTAAGAAGAAATATATTAATAGTGATTTGGGGGGGGCAAGAGAGTGGGGCCCTCAGCTATAGCTTGTTTAGCTTATACATCAATCCAGCACTGATTGGGTTGTTGTTTTATTCTGATTATATATGTTGTAAATATAACATAGTTGTTGTAACATAGTTGTTGTAACAACAACAACAACTATACAGTGGATGCTTGGGTTGCGAACGTGATCCGTGCGGGATGCAAGTTCGCAACCCACAGCGTTCGCAACCCGCAGCTGCACGTCTGTGCATGTGTGGGTTGCGATTTGGCACTTCTGCGCATGCACAAAGCGCAGTTTAGCGCTTCTGCACATGCATGACCGCCGAAACCTGGAAGTAACCCGTTCCAGTACTTCAGGGTTTCGGCAGTCCGTAACCCAAAAAAACGCAACCTGAAGCGTCTGTAACCTGAAGTATGACTGTATTGATGGCAGATGCAATAAGCAACTGAAAGGTCAGCTGCCCTGACTTGAGGAGAAAGGTCCTAATTCTGCCCTCTACTGGAAGTCATTAGAAGTCCACTGCAATGTGTCAGGCCCAAGAGGCAGTAGCCTCTGGCTACGAGTCACGTTTCCCCAGCTCTGTATGCTGTGGCCCCTAAAGACACCGGTGGAGAGGAACCACAGAGAAGAACCCCTTGTTCCCTTCCCTTGCCAGTTACAAGCATAGAACTGTAGAGGTGGAAGGGACCCCAAGGGACATCTAGTCCGACCCCCTGCAATGCTGGAATCACAGCTAAACAATCCAAGACCGATGGCCTCCCAATCTCTTTTAAAACAAAACAAAAAACTCAAATGAAGGAGAGTCCACCACCTTCCAAGGGAGCTCATTCCGCTGTTGAACAGCTCTGAGTGCCAGAAGATTCTTCTTAATGTTGGGTTGGAATCACCTTTGTTGTCATTTGAATCCATTGGTTTGGGACCTGCTTGGGAGCACAAGAAAACAACCTTGCTCCACCTTCCATGTGACAAATCAGATCTTTGAAAAATGGCTGTCCTATTACCTCTCAGTCTCCTGTTCTCCAGGCTAAGCATGGCTGAAACCCTCAGCTGGTCCTCATAAGGTTATCATCCTGGTCAACCTCTTCTGCACATGTCCCAGTTTTTCAATATCCTTCTTAAACAGGGGTGCCCGGAACTGGACACAAGACTCAAACTGGGGCCTGACCAAAGCAGGATAGAGCGGGACTATTCCTTCCCTTGAACTCTCAGATAATGCTCTATATCTTTCTGGTCGCCTCACCTTCCAAAAGGTGTCATGGAGTTGGAAAAGCTAGGAGAAGGACCACCAAAATTATCAAGGGGGTGGAGTTGCTCCCCTAGTAGGAACGGTTGCAGCGTTTGGGACTTCTTAGACAGACAATATGATGGAAGTTTATAAAATGATGCGTGGCCTAGAGAAAAAGGCTAGGGGAAAGCTTTTCTCCCACCAGAACCTGTGGACAACGCTAAGGTGAATGTTCGAAGATTCAGGACAGATAACCTCTTCACGCAGTTAAACTATGGAACTTGCTGGAATGGTATAGAATTCAGTTTGTAAGTGTTGTCCACAGACATGCCTTGGGCCACCTGAACTCATGGACCACTAGTGGTTTGTGAACCTCAGACCCTCCAAGTTTCCTTGTTTTCCAGGGATCGTCCCAGATTTAAAGAAGCCATTCCAGTTTCTGATTTGATCCTGGAATGCCCCACTTTCCCTTAGGTAAAGGTAAAGGGACCCCTGACCGTTAGGTCCAGTTGTGGACGACTCTGGGGTTGCAGCACTCATCTCGCTTTATTGGCCGAGGGAGCTGGCGTACAGCTTCTGGGTCATGTGGCCAGCATGACTAAGCAGCTTCTGGCGAACTAGAAACAGAAATGCCGTTTACCTTCCCACCGGAGTGGTACCTATTTATCTACTTGCACTTTGATGTGCTTTTGAACTACTAGGTTGACAGGAGCAGGGACCGAGCAACGGGAGCTCACCCCGTCGCGGGGATTTGAACCGCTCACCTTCTGATCGGCAAGCCCTAGGCTCTGTGGTTTAACCACAGCGCCACCCACATCCCCTTTTCCTTAGGACGTTCCTATTTCCATCAGAGAAATGCTGGAGGATATGAGACCTCAGTTTGCAAACCCCAGATCCCGTTCACCTGGATGAAGCTTGCAACGACACCAGATCTAAGCTGCTTTCCTTCACGAAGGGAATATGGGCAGAGAACAACATGCCGAAATGTCTGAGAGAGGTTGTGAACGTGAGCGCCTTAAAATGTCCGAGCCACCAGGTCCAAGTCCAGCCCAATTTCCATCTTGAAAAGTCACTGGCCCAGTGTTCTGTAGGCATCCCAACACCTCCCTTTCCTTCATCTATGACTTCCTGGCTGTTTCTGGATCACCAATTCAAGACTCGCAGTGGAAAAATACCTGGTTCGAGTTTACTGCTGGGAGCAAAGGGTGTGTGTGGCTGGGCAGGGGCGAGGGTGGGAGTGGCACGGCTGGCATTCCTCGGCCATTGGCTTCCGCCTTTGTACGGAGTCTTGCCTCGGTGTTTTCGAGCCACTAAGGTCATTCCTAGTTAATCGTTGGCTAGGAATCAATAGTCGTGGAGCGATGGCTGGGAACGATAAAATACATTTTGCACCATCAGATCTCTGCGCAGTTTATCTCCCGGGCTTCCAAGTCAGCGCAGCCGTGCGTTGTTTGGGCTGCAGCTGTGCAAATTCCCTTTTCGGAAAGCCTTCTCTGCCGAGGCGAGAAAGGCTGGCTCAAAGGGGATCGAGGTACCCCAAGCCTCCTTGACTTGGTGCCAAAATAAACCCAGCAAAGGCAGCTTACAGAAGAAGAACGGGGCTGCTGGTCAGATCAAAGGGGACTCGCCCAGTCCAAGATGCTGTTGTCACAAATGGGAAACCTGAATCGAGGACGTGAGTGCAGAGGCAACTCTCCCCAGTGCTCTCACTGGGTAATAATAATAATAATACAGTGGTAACGCTTCAGGTTACATACGCTTCAGGTTACAGACGCCACTAACCCAGAAATAGTGCTTCAGGTTAAGAACTTTGCTTCAGGATGAGAACAGAAATCGGGCTCTGGCAGTGCAGCAGCAGCAGGAGGCCCCATTAGCTAAAGTGATGCTTCAGGTTAAGAACAGTTTCAGGTTGAGTACGGACCTCCGGAACGAATTAAGTACTTAACCTGAGGTACCACTGTAATAATAATAAATTTTATTTATACCCCGCCCTCCCCGGCCAGAGCCGGGCTTAAGGCGGCTAACACCAGTAAAAATTACAGTAAAAACATAATAAGGCGTAGGAACCAATTTAAAATACAGGTTAAAATGCAGTTTAAAATGAAGCCTCATTTTAAAAGTAGCCCATAGATCAAGACCATAAGGGGAGGGAAACAGAAGGGTCAGACTGAGTCCAAACCAAAGGCCAGGCGGAACAGCTCTGTCTTGCAGGCCCTGCGGAAAGTCCCGCAGGGCCCTGGTGTTGTGTGACAGAGTGTTCCACCAAGTTGGGGCCAGTACTGAAAAGGCCCTGGCCCTAGTTGAGACCAATCTAACCATCTTGCGACTTGGGACCTCCAAGGTGTTGTCATTTGTGGACCTTAAGGTCCTCCGCGGGGCATACCAGGAGAGGCGGTCCCGTAGGTACGTGGGTCCTAGGCTGCAGAGGGCTATGATGATGCCTCTTCCTTTTCTGGATGGAGACTAGAAAGGACCCCGACTCAACTGCCACTGTTAACATGTGCCATGTGATACCTGTTCCACATCCAGAAGAAATCAAGTGTAGTGACAAGGACACTTTGGAACTCCCCGCCTAGTGACACCAGGCTGCTTCCTCCCCTTTACTCTTTTCAGCACCCGCTAAAAACATCCCCCCCCCTACAAGCCTACCCAGACACATGGAACGTTGATGCATGCCTTAATTCTGTTTTTAATTTATTGCCAGTTTTGGTTTTTGAATGTTTTAAGGAGTTATCTTTACTGATAATTTTCTTGTTCTGTTCTCATTGCAAACCGTTTTGAGGTTTGTTTGTTTACAATCAAGCAGTGTATAGGTTTTATGAAACAAATGAATAAATTGTCTGCACCCTTGCCACCCCGGACATATCGGGGTAGAATTTATAAATGAAATTGTTAAACTACGGAACTCCCTCCCACAGGAGACAATGTTGGCCCCCAACTTGGATGGCTTTAAAAGAGGATTGGATGAATCCATGGAGATGAGGGCTGTCCAGGGAGGGAGCTAGCCATCCACTGCCCACATGGCAAGCGTGGGGGGGCGCTGCTAGCCACCCACATGGGGAGCATCCCTAGCCGCCTGCAACCCACACGGCGAGTGTCATGGGGGCCACTATTAGCTGCCTGTGGCAGCATTGTCCCTAGCGGCCCACCGCCCGCTCAGCAAGCAGGGGGTGTGTGTGGCATGGCGATGTCACCCACCCTCACGGCTGATACCCAGTGCCCACCTTCCTCCGCCGGTGGGCCTGTCAATGACTACTAGGCAAGATGGTTCTGCTCTGCCTCCACAAGAGGCAGCAATGGTAATCTTGCCCAGAATGGAATGCCATAAAAGGTCTCCCACCTCTCTGATCTAGTATATTTGGAAATATTTTATTTTTTTTAAAAAAATAATATTTATTACTTTTCCAACAATTTAAACACTACAAAAAAAGAGAACAATACAATACAATACAAAAACACTACATAACACTAACACATTAAACTAACAAAACAAAACAAAAACCGTTTAAAACACATCAAACAATTTCAATATCTTATCTTTCATTCACTTATTTCCTTGACCTCCTCACACCTCCCTTTTTGTATTCCACTTCTATTAATTGTTTCAGCAATTCCTTTCCATCTTCCTCTGTTTTCTATCCTATAATTATCTTAACACATTCTAACCTTATTTTTTCCTTTAATACTCTATTAATCTATTTATACTTAATTCCTTATAACATTTCTACTAAAGCCATATAACTTCATTCCAACATTTTCTAACATTCGTTAATTTTACAATATTTCTGTAAATAGTCTTTAAACTTTTTCCAATCTTCTTCCACCGACTCTTCTCCCTGGTCTCGGATTCTGCCAGTCATTTCCGCCAGTTCCATATAGTCCATCAACTTCATCTGCCATTCTTCCCGGGTGGGTAAATCTTGTGTCTTCCAATACTTCGCGATAAGTATTCTTGCTGCTGTTGTTGCATACATAAAAAAAAGTTCTATCCTTCTTTGGCACCATTTGGCCGACCATGCCCAGGAGAAAGGCCTCTGGTTTCTTCAGGAAAGTATATTTGAATATCTTTTTTATTTCATTATAAATCATCTCCCAGAATGTCTTAATCCTTGGGCATGTCCACCAAAGGTGAAAGAATGTACCTTCAGTCTCATTACATTTCCAACATTTATTGTCGGGCAAATGGTAAATTTTTGCAAGCTTGACTGGTGTCATGTACCACCTATAAATCATTTTCATTAAATTTTCTCTTAGGGCATTACATGCCATGAATTTCATACCTGTGGTCCATAACTGTTCCCAGTCAGCCATCATTATGTTATGTCCAACATCTTGTGCCCATTTAATCATAGCTGATTTCACCATTTCATCCTGAGTATTCCATTTCAACAGCAAGTTATACATTCTTGACAAATTCTTGATTTTTGGTAGTATATTTAGAAATAAATAAATCATGAAAAGAAAAGTTCTGCTAAGTTTCCAGAGGTCTCTTCTCCAAAGGCAGTCAAAACCTGGCAAGTATTCTCCCTATAAAACTTCACTCCTCATGGAAGTGGGGAGCATGCAAAGATATATTTTGTTGTTGTTGTTGAGTCATTTAGTGATGTCCGACTCTTTGTGACCCCCTGGACCAGATCAAGCCAGGCCCTCCTGTCTTCCACTGCCTCCTGCAGTTTGGTCAAACTCATTCTAGTAGCTTCGAGAACACTGTCCAACCATCTTGTTCTCTGTCGTCCCCTTCTCCTTGTGCCCTCCATCTTTCCCAACATCAGGGTCTTTTCCAGGGCGTCTTCTCTTCTCATGAGGTGGCCAAAGTCTTGGAGCCTCAGCTTCAGGATCTGTCCTTCCAGTGAGCACTCAGGGCTGATTTCCTTCTGAATGGAGAGGTTGGATCTTCTTGCAGTCCATGGGACTCTCAAGAGTCTCCTCCAGCACCATGATTCAAAAGCATCCATTCTTCAGCGATGAGCCTTCTTTATGGTCCAGCTCTCACTTCCATACATCACTACTGGGGAAACCAGAGCTTTAACTCAAAGATATATCCATAGGGGCAAATCATGCAAGACAGGGATAACCAGGTGCACAACCATAAGGTGGGGACACCTGACTTAAGGCAGTACACGACGTGAAAAGGATCTAGGGGTGCCAGTGGACTGCAAACTGAACATGAGCCAAAAGAGAGCAGTAATAATAATAATAATAATAATAATAATAATAATAATAGACCCTTGGGTTCACTTCCAACCCTACTTTGCCAATTCCATGCAGAATCACAAAATCCTGGCTTTAAAATGCAGCATCGTAGTCACCCTGAAGCTGCGGTCAAAGGCAGGAAAAGGTGAGAAGGTTATTTTCCAGTCTTTGCTTGCAAGTGGGAGAGCTGCAGCCTCATGTTAGCAGCCCAGCATTTGATGGTATTTGGATTTTCCCCTCCATTGCTTTGGCACGTGCGTGTGGGGGTTTTTTGTGTGTGTGTGTGACACGCATTTGCATCCTGGCATTGAGCCTGACCTGAAACCAAAGGCCTTTCTGGGCTGATAATGCGATACATGTAATGAGGCGAGGGACACTGAGCGGTCGTTGCACTTCCGGGCATCAAGGGCAGCAGGAGGCGATGCCAGCTGGTCCACGAGTGGAGAGGGTTCATTTGGGAGATAAACAACTGCAAAGGAGTCACACAGCTCCTTGCATGAAGAAGACGCCCCTTCAATTCTCCATGGAGGTACAAACTTAATAATAGCAAACTTAATAATATTAATAATTCCATTACAGTGGTACCTTGGTTCTCAAACGTAATCCGTTCCGGAAGTCCGTTCCAAAACCAAAGCGTTCCAAAACCAAGGCGCGCTTTCCCATAGAAAGCAATGCAAAACAGATCAATCCGTCCTGGACTTTTAAAAACAACCCCTGAAACAGCAAGTGAACATGAATTTTGCTGTCTAACGAGACCACTGATCCATAAAATGAAAGCAATGAACAATGTACTGCAGTCACACAATCAATCAATCAATCAATCAGTAGCTGAACCAGGTTCCACACAGTCACAAAAAAAGAGCCGCAACAACAAAAATGCAGAATAAATAGGCACTCAAAATGGAAGCGTAACACTCAAAACGGAGCACGTTTGGATTCTGAAATAAGTCCGCAAACCAGAACACTTATTTCCGGGTTTGCAGTGCTTGGGTTCCACGTTGTTTGAGTACCAAGGCATTTGAGAACCAAAGCACCACTGTATTTATACCCCACCCATCAGGCGGGGTTGCCCCAGCCACCCTGGGCAGCTAAAACCCCTTTAATTGTTATTCCTGCTTCTCTCAAGACTGCAGTTGCGTCTGTGAAGGAGAAGAGGCACCCCTCATTGAATTCTCAACCGTTTCACCAACCTGCTGGCCCCTGATTCCTTGTGAGAGGCTGTGATCCTCTCTGCATGGTATTTTGTGTTTGTGTCTATATCCCACCTTTGGGTGGCATACATGGTCCCCACCCCTCCTCATTTAGTCCCAACAACAGGCCTGCCAGGTAGGCTAGACTGAGAAGCAGGCAGTAACTGGCGTCCAAGGTGACCCAGTGAGCTTCATGGCTAAGTGGGGATTCAAACCCTGGTCTCCCTGGTCCTAGGTTGACACTCTAACCACTACAGCACGCTGTCTCATGGAATGAGGCGATGGAATCCTGGGCTGAACTCCTTGAAGATGCTGGTGAAGATGGGTGGGGGAGTTGTTTTGAATGCCCCACCTACATTATAGTAGTTCCCTGCATGTAATAAACTAGCAAGTCAGCATTTCCCATTGACATGAAATAGGAGGAGGAAACAGTTGGCAAAAATGAGATTTCAGGAGCACAGCTCTTAAGCTAAGGATACCAGACTTTTTTCAAAGAATCCGGGGACACTTTAAAAAAAAAGGGGGGGGGAGTTATTTTAAAAAATAATTTTATTTTTTTAAAAAAGAAGTAATCTCTTCTGTGGTCTCCTCTGTTGGGCAGCCTTCCTCTGGGCCCTGGCCTGCTCTCTTGGACCATTAGCCACAGAGGAGTAGACTTGGGCTTGGCCATGTGTCCTTGTCCTCCCAGTGCTCTCCTACCTCTCCTCCTCAGCGGTGGCAGTGGCGGCACGGCAAGGTCGGGGCTCCCCTCTTTTTTCTCCTTCCTCTTTCTCTTCCTTCTCCTTCTCCTTCTCCTTCTCCTTCTCCTTCTCCTCTCCTCCTTCTCCCTGCGTTCGCTCAGGGGTTTTCCTGGCCCCAGAACGCCACTGGGAAGTCAGCCGAGTGGCTGGGCGCTCTTGTTCCCGGCTCAATTTGGGTCACAGAGTGAGTGTGTCAGCGGTTCCCCCAGTTGACGCGCTGGGCACCCCCAGTTCTCCCTTGGCAGTGGCAGTGGCGGCAGCAGTCTCAGCAGCCTGGAGCCAGCCTGGTAGCGCAGTTGGCTCTGGCTGGCTTCAGGAGCTGCTCACTGCCATGGTACCCACCATTTTGCCTCGCCGAAAGTCCCCATATGATGTGTCTTGTGCCGTTGAACCGATCACGCAACATTCATTCCCTGCTAATAAATCTACAACACTTAAAATATAAATCCGGGGACATTAAATGAGATCCGGGGACATTCCGGGGACAGATTTGTAAATCCGGGGACTGTCCCCGGGAAACGGGGATGTCTGGTAACCATATCTTAAGCACGATGGTGGAAGGAGGGACAGGCATGGAGCAAGAAAAGGCAGGAAGTGTCTGAGAGGGCAAGAATGGAAGAATATGAATATAAGAAGCCGCAGAAGGAAGATGGCCTTCACTGCCTTCTGTGGGAATGGGTTCCACAGTTTAAAGGACTTTCCTTTATTGGGGTCCTGAATCTTCCAGCCTTCACCTTCACGGGATGCCCCCAAGTTCCAGTGCGACCAGCCTCCCTTGCCCTTTCTCATTGCACTCTTGGCTCGAGGTTTAAAACGCAATAACCCTGGTTTGGCCGCTGTAGCTCTCAGCGAGGAACCAGGAGGAATGGAATTAAGGTCTCGGTTCATTAAGTGAACATGGAACACAAAGCAGCAGTTTAACTGGAGGCAGTAATCGTCAGCTCATTGTCATTAGCTGGCTAAGCAGAAAGAGGAAGGGCAATGGGAGGCACAGAGCAGAACTTTGCTGCAGCCTCATGGACTAGAGAGACTAGAGGAGCCTCAGAATCATAGAATTGTGGACTTGGGAGGGACCCTGAGGGTCATCTAGCCCAACCCCGGCAATGCAGGAATTTGCAGCTGTCTCATATGGGGCTCAAACATCCTGTGTAGGGCAGAATTCAGCATACAGTCATACCTTTGTTGTCGAACGCCCTGGAACTTGGAGGTTTTGGCTCCTGAATGTCACAAACCCGGAAGTGACTGTTCTGGTTTGCGAACTATTTTTGGGGAACCAAACGTCCAACAGGGCTTCCACAGCTTCTGAACATTTTGGAAGTCAAACGGACTTCCGGAACGGATTCCGTTTGACTTCCAAGGTACGACTGTATATTGGGAACAATTTGGTCTCCTAGAACAGCAGCACTGGGTTCAACATAGGGATGGGCAAATCTATGGAAGAAGCTTTGTAAGTTCTTTTAGATCAGCGGTGGGGACATTGAGTGGGGACCCCTAACGTTCTGCCCGGACACCGAGGTCCAGCTCCGAGGGCCTTCTGGCAGTTCCCTCATTGCGAGAAGTGAGGTTACAGGGAACCAGGCAGAGGGCCTTCTCGGTGGTGGCACCCACCCTGTGGAACACCCTCCCTTCAGATGTGAAAGAAATAAACAGCTATCGTATCTTTAAAAGACATCTGAAGGCAGCCCTGTTTAGGGAAGTTTTTAATATTTAACGCTGTACTGTTTTTAACACTTGATTGGGAGCCGCTCAGAGTGGCTGGGGAAACTCAGCCAGATGGGCGGGGTATAAATAATAAATTATTATTATTATTATTATTATTATTATTATTATGCAACTGGAACCCCAGTTTATACTACATTCCTGCTAAACAGGGTGAGGATCTGCCTAACTAAAACAGTGATTGGTACTCGAGTTTTTTGATCCAAAGCCTACTGGTCGAATACAAATGTGGAAGGGTCAACATTAATGTGACATAAAATTTGGGCAAACAAAGCACCAATTTCAATAAGTGGAGATACGTTTTCTTTTCTTTTCACGGTCTGCATCTGTATTGGGTTCGAGATTGTTTTTATGCATGAAATTGTTACTGTGCATGTGCTTATGGTTGACATTATTTTGTTAAATACCAATGAGAGGTTTCACAGGATGCTAAGGCCCATCCTGTGACAAGTGAGGTTGGGGGGTCATGATGCCGGGGTGTGGGGTATGGGGGCAGCCAGGAGGCAGAGCCTGGGAAGGTGAGAAATGCCATCGCCACAAAGGTCAAAGGCAATAGGAAGAAGAGGAGCAGGAAGAAGATAGCATCTCCATGCCTTTTCTTATCCTGCTCTGGGGACTTTTAGATAAAGCCACTTCTGCCCTTCAAAGGAGGTGGAGTTGCGGTCTTCATGGCCCCACCACGTGTGCAGCAGCTGGGGGGATTCCCGGCCACGTCATCCCCTGGCCAGCCAACCAGATGGCTCTGGGGGCGTGGCCTGCCCTACTTAAGGCAGGACGCGGCTGGGGATCGCCCTCTTTCCCCGCCTGCCAGCTGTTCCTGTTTCCCACCCTCCCGCCCTATAGGGTTTTCATTCCTTGACCTTGCTATGGACCTTGCTTGGTCGCCGTTGAGGGGCCTGGTAGGAATTTTTCCACTTGGCAAATTGGCACCAGCCACTTGGTTTTCGCCCACCTCGTAGCAAATCATCACAACTTTCTTGGTATTGGCGGCTGGGCATTGGTATTGCTCTGTAGATGGAAGAGGGGAGGAAGCGCCATCACCTGCCCCACATATTGAAGGGTAGTCAGGTAAAGGATTCCAGGGGGCGTGGCCCTGTCCAAAGCCTGGGGAGGTGAGGGCCTAAGGCACGCCCCCTATCGGTGACCCCGGGGGAGTTCCTAGTTGATGTGCATCAGCCGGACTCCCCCTACTGGAGATTGACCCTTTCCGGACTTCAATCGGACAGGCTGAAGATGGATATAGTCGGTTAGGACCAATGCCTAAGCCAATACCGCTCATCACCTGTAACCAATAAAGTTGTGGCCTTATTTAGCCCATTAACCTTAATAATTGTGTCATGTGCCATTATTTCCACGGGGAGGGGGACTGGTCATGCAACGCCACTCAGCACAAAATAAATTGAAGATACAGCTCTCCCTCTCCCTCTCTTCAGCAACAGGTCACAATCCACAGAGTACCAAACTGACCAGCCGCTGCTTGGAGTGGGGGAAGGAAGAACAGCCACCTCCTCAAACATCACTTTTAAGTTCCAAAGAGATGGCTGAATGGCCCGCAAAGGCAAGGCGGAGTCCTGTGGCCCCTTAAAGGCTAATGCGTTTATCTTATCAGACGCCATCGATCGTGGGCACAGCGCAAAGAGGAGAGTGGAGGGCCTTTTTTCACAAAGTGCAGCCGAAAGGTCAGAGCAAGCGAGGGATTACATTGCAGAGCATCGAGGGAATCAAGGTCGTGCCACATATATATATGATCTTATCTGAGGGAGTGTGACCTAACTGGCAAAACAAGATGCATATAGAATACGAAAACAGCTCACAGGGGACAATGACTTTCCGTAGCAAAGCAGCCCAAGCCCAGCTTCAGCCTCAGCCTGACGCTGCTGTATTTGAGAAATGAACTGCAACTCAGCAGATTCGCCCGGCAGCCTCCTCCCCAAAGCCGGTTGTTTGTTTGTTTTGGATCGAGCCTGTTACTATCAAGGACAGCCGTGATGCAAACCATTTAAGCTGCATCCCAAGCGCTCGTTTTCTCTTCCCTCCTGCACGCATGGGCAATTTAGTTTTCGTTTGGTTCTGTGTTATGTAATTTTGCAGTTTTATATTGGAAACTGCCCTCTGGTCCTCGGATGAAGGGTGGGATAGAAAGAAGAAGAAGAGGAGGAGGAGGAGGAGGAGGAAGAGGAAGAAATGGGAATAATAGCACTGGCCAAGCTTACTGGGTTGTTGTAAAGACTGGGGATGGATGAATCTTTTCGCTTCCGCTGGAGGCAGTGATAGCTACTCTTATGTCCCTCACTTTCTCCTGTTTCCCGAATCTTAAATTCCATTCACCATATTGATATATCAGCTTGTGAATTTTCTTCAAAATCCTCATGAAAATTCAGCAGCATTTCTCCTAATAGTCACATTTAGCTGTGCAATTTTGCCTGACGTACACCTTTTCTTTGAGGCAAGCTATTCCCCACCCTGCCACCCCACTAACATAATGGATTTCTGTAATTCATTTTCACTAATATGTGTGTTTTAATGCACACTTTATGGCTGTTTTTCAGTTTGCACCTGACTTTTGGGAAGCACAAATTGCCCAGGTTTGCATTAAGATGCAAACTGTACCAACTTTCTCCTGCATACCTAGGAAGGATTACTAAGTTATCTTTGTGAAGTGCTTTGACCATTCAAAAAGAAGGTGGATTGAGAGAGAGAGAGAGAAACTCTTGTTTGATTTGAAAACTTGAAAAACAGGCAAACATAATTTTCTCCTGTTCTGTGCCTGTATTGGTGTTCTACTCTCTGCAAATTGATTTCCTTATGCCTTCAAACTGGAACTGCCCCTATTTCTAAATCCTCCCGTTGCTCCCCTTTCGGCAGTTTGCAAAAGATGTGCCACTTTGCAAAATATTGCCTTTCCTTGCTTTATCCTACATATCACATACCTGCTTTCATTTAAGAAGGCTTACCCTGAAGTGTGTGATGGAAGATTAATTGAACAAATCTCAGAAATGGCTTTTTGCAGAGCAGCTGCCAGTCCGTGTGGATGATGCTGAGTTAGATGGATCAAGGGGACAGGGGGCGGGCAGGTGAGGAGGACTCCCAGGTCCTGAACAGGGTAACTGTGTCCCTGAAGGACAGGTGAGCAGCCTGGGAGTCATTTTAGACTCACAGCTGTCCATGGAGGTGCAGGTCAATTCTGTGTCCAGGGCAGCTGTCTACCAGCTCCATCTGGTACGCAGGCTGAGACCCTACCTGCCTGCAGACTGTCCTGGCAGAGTGGTGCATGCTCTGGTTATCTCCTGCTTGGACTACTGCAATGCGCTCTATACGGGGATACCTTTGAAGGTGACCCGATGGGGGTATGTGTTTCTCTTTCTCTCAAATCTACCTGAAGATGAACCTCAGACCTTCTGCATACAAGGCCACTGAGCTACGGCCTTTCCCCAAATGGATGCAAAATGCTCCAACCTCCCCATCTTAAGAAGGCAAAGCGCACCATTTTGCCCAGACTTAAGTCTTCCAAGCAGCCCCACGCAGTGCATGTTGACAGTTTCTAGCCTCAAAGGTATAAAGGTGTAAATTACAGTTGTGCTGGGAGAAACAGCCATAAGAGACTTGTCTGGGGAGCCATGTTTCTTTGTGTTTCTTACATTCTAGCCTTCTGTCTATGGAATGGCACAGCGAAATCCGTGTTTACTATTAGTACTAGATCAATAAATTATTCTCCGATTTCCACCTCTTCTGTCTGAATGAGATCGCTGCTTGCAAAATTAAAAGGACGTGTTACTGCTGCTTTCCTCTAATTGCAGGGCATTTAGTAGTACCTTGCAATAAATCGCTTTTCATCTAAGACATATTCTCCTCTATCCAGTAACAAATATAAATAAAAGTTGGTTCTATTAATCAAGCCACCCAGAGTGGTTGGGGGCAACCCAGTCAGATGGGCAGCATATAAATAATAAAATTATTATTATTATTATTAAAAAAAAAAAAAGAAAGAAAGAAATGGCTTTTTGCATGTTTTGTGTTTTATCTTGTTTTTAGAATCTGTATTTATTCTTCCTTTTTTTTGTTACAGCTTGTATCTTTGGCAGTTTATCTAATTTTTCCTCACACTGCTTTAATAACCTCTGGTTATTAAAGCTGGTTAGGAACAGAAGAACAGAAGAACAGACCAAGTACCCTTATTTTCCAGGGACATTCCCGGATTTAAGGAAGCCGTCCTAGTTTCCAATTTGATCCTGGAATGTCACCATTTTCTTTTCTTTTTTCTTTCTTTCTTATTTATTGATTCCAAAAAGAAAACAATCAACAAAAACACTTTAACACATTACAAAAAGATATAATCGTTTCATAATACATATCTTCTATGGCGACTTCCCATCACCCCAGCATGATTCCTTAGTGCTTCTTGGTTTTTCGCACTTATCTTTATCACTAATAATACATCTTAGTTCTCTTAGGTTTCTACGGTTTCCTACTTTCCTACAGAAGTCACTCCAGGCCTGCCAACGAGTTCAGGTTTTCGCAGTGCTCCCTGAGATACTTTCTATACATGTCCTATTCCTTCATAAATGTTTGTTCAGTCAGGTCCCTTGATTTTCCCATCATTTTTGCTAGTTCTGCAAACTCTAACAGTTTTGATTGCCACTCCAGTTTAGTCAGTATTACATCTCCTTTAGAGTTTCTAGCTATTAGAATTCTTGCTGCCATGGTGACATAGAGAAATACCTTCCTCCCCTTTTTTGGTATATCCGTGTCTATTTAAGGGCAAGCGGGAATTGTAGAACTGAATATTCCTGCATTGCAGGGGGTTCGACTAGATGACCCCAGGGTCCCTTCCAGCCCTATTATATTCTATTATTCTATTATTTAAAAAGTTCTTCAAGAGCAGCCCCTCTGAGTGTCCCTGATACAGTCATACCTCAGGTTACAGATGTTTCAGGTTGCGCATTTTTGGGTTACGGTCTCTCCGAAACCTGGAAGTACCTGAACAGGTTACTTCCAGGTTTCAGTGCTCGTGCATGCGCAGAACCGCTAAATCATGCTTTGTGCATTTGCAGAAGCATCGAATCACAACCCACATGTGCGCAGGCGCGGCGCTACGGGTTGCGAACGCTGCAGGTTGCGAACATGCTTCCTGCACGGATCACGTTCGCAACCTGAGCGTCTACTGTATATGATTTGATTCCAGAATGTCCCGCTTTTCCTCAGGGTCTGGAGTTATGTGACCCCTGAGCCAAGGAGATAAGCAACTATACAACCTTAGAAGACAGTGGAAGGCAGACCTGTATAGGGAGGTTGTTTAATGTTCAGTGTTTTATTATGCTTTCATATAGGTTGGAAGCCACACAGAGTGGCTGGGGATACCCAGTCAGATGGGTGAGGGATAAATATAACAACAACAACATAGGACATCCCTATTTTCATTGGAGAAATGTTGGCAGGTATGCAAGAACAGCTTCCAGGATCACGCCAATTGCCCATCTACTTCAGCATCCACAGAGGCCAACCACATACCTGTGGAAAACCACCTCCTCCTCCTATTTTTGGTGCATAAAGGATGGCAGTTCGTCTTCCCCCTGTGCCTCCACACCTGAAAGAATTTTAATCCCAAATTCATTAAAAATAACGGCGGTGATGCAGTTTACCCATTTGCAAAGGGGTGCTGTCCTGTCTGCCGGCGTGCACTGTCTGATTTTTTTTTTAAGGAAAGGACTTTTAAGAGTGCTGTGCTGTTTTTTCCATTTGCATTTTAATATATTTCTTTTTATATATATTGTTTTAATTCAATTAGAATTTAATTACTTTTTAGTGTTTATATCATAGACTCAGGGATTTTTTTTAATCTTTGAAGTTTTATTCTCTTTTAAATGTTCTGTTGAAAGCCGCCCAGAGTGGCTGGGAAACCCAGCCAGATAGGCAGGGTAGAAATAATTTGTTGTTGTTGTTAAAGATCTAGAAGGGACCATGAGCATCATCTAGTCCAGGGGTGGCCAACTCCCAACAGACTGTGATCAACTCACAGAGTTACAAACTGGCTGTGATCTACCCCCTTTCGGGGGGTTCGGGTCAAAGTTGTTCAGTTTTTTCAGGGAGGAGGTAAAATGTTGAGCTTTTTTTAGGGGAGCCACAGTTGTTCAGCTTCTTGGGGGGTGGGGTGGAATGATCTACCAGTGATCCACCGCAGATGTCCAATCTACCTGTTGGACATGCCTGATTCTAGTCCAAAGATTCTGCAATGCAGGAATCTCTTTGCCCATCGTGGGGCTTGAACCCCCCTCCCCCTGAGATTGTTTTTAGTTTCTTCTATTTTATCTGTGCTGTTTTAATTTGTGTAAGCTGCCTTGAGTCTATTAATATTACAATAATAGTGAATGTGAATTGAAGCAGGGGATCATGGGAAACAGAGTTTCTGCCGTGAGCACGAAGAAACAGAGAGAAAAATGGTGCCAATATCATTTCATTGGCTGCTCCAAATTTGTGGGAAACCAGGCAAGATTGCCATTGCAGGTGTTCGTGTTGGAGCAATACCTCAACCATGATGGGACCTGATTAAAGGCCTCCCCGTGAAGCCATCGTTAGGTAACAGCACCTCAGGTCACCTGCGGTCAGAGAAGGATATTTGCGAGATAGTAAATATTTGAGGTCCACACTCTTTGTGGCCAACAAGCCTGGCATGGAAGTAGGAGAGGCCTTGACATTTGCAAGGGGAAATGCAAATCTGGGACATCTTTGGTTGTGTTTTGCATAGCGAATGTCAGCCCAGCGCAAATCCCCAGCTGCCTTGGTTAGGAATTTCAGTGAACCCGAACCGCTATTCAAACCATGCCAGGGAGCCTGATACAGAGAGACAGGCAGAGAGGAACAGCCTCTGTTCCTTTCATTTAAGACACCCCAGTGGAAAACAGGAGGGATGCAGCCAAAGAAATTCCATGGAGAATGGAGAGCCACCTCACCAACCCCACCAGCTGCCCTGTCAGCTGTTTTAAGGCAAGATCCTTCGCTGGCACCTCTGGGAATCTGGAGTCTCCAATGGGCAGCCAGCTGCTAACCCCTGATACAAATCCGTTCGTGAGTCATCCACTCTGCCTTTGATCTGCTTCCATGCCACGGCCATATTTCTTGGTCCTTGGCTATGCCAGGACCACAAACACGATGGTTACCATGGCCAAGACAGCAGCCTCTGCCCATCTCTAGACAAGATTTCTAATGCAATTCTGGGCTGCGTCAACAGAAGATACAGTGTCCAGATCAATGATGTAATGGTCCCAACCAGCGCTTAAAGAAATTAAAAAATGTTTAGGGGTACTCTCATTTTCCTACTCATATTGAAATACTGCCCCTCATTGAGGCCAAACTTAGATTCACAAAATGTTTAGGGTATGTGTACCCCTGCGTACCCCCAGGGGGAAAAAGGACTCATCCTGACTCCTAGTCTGTTATGCCTTGGTCAGACCCCACCTGGAGTCCTGTGTCCAGTTCTGGACACCACAATTTAAGAAGGATGTTGACAAGTTGGAATGTGTTCAGAGGAGGGTGACCAAGATGATAATAATAATAATAATAATAATTATTATTATTATTATTATTATTATTATTATTATTATTATTTATATCCCGCCCTCCCCAGCCAAAGCCGGGCTCAGAGCAGCTAACAACAGTAAAAGTAACGCAGTTTACATAAAATCACAATCAATTAATTGAAATACATTCTAAAATCAGTGCATTCTAAAATCAATTCAGAATCAAATTAATGGCAACCATTGGGCTAGAGTTCTGTGAGGATTACAGAAGGAGAGAGGGGGTCAGACTCTGCCTTGGCCAAAGACCTGGTGGAACAGCTCTGTCTTGCAGGCCCTGCGGAAAGATGTCAAGTCCCGCAGGGCCCTAGTCTCTTGTGACAGAGCGTTCCACCAGATCGGGGCCATGGCCGAAAAAGCCGTGGCTCTGGTTGAGGCCAGCCTAACCTCCCTGTGGCCTGGGATCCCCAAGATGTTTTTGTTTGAAGACCGTAAGGTCCTCCGTGGGACATACCAGGAGAGGCGGTCCCATAGGTACGAGGGTCCTAGGCCATATAGGGCTTTAAAGGTTAAAACCAGCACCTTAAACCTGATCCTGTACTCCACTGGGAGCCAGTGCAGCTGGTATAGCTGATGAAGGGTCTGGAAGCCAAGCCTGATGAGGAACAGTTGAAGGAGCTGGAATGTTTAGCCTGGAAAAGAAGAGACTGAGAGGAGATATGAGAGCCATCTTCCAATATCTCAAGAGATGTCACATGGAAGTTGGAACAAGCTTGTTTTCTCCTGCTCTGGAGGGTAGGACTCGAACCCATGGTCTTCAAATGACAAGAAAGGCAATTCCAACAAAACATCAGGGGAAATTTTCTGAAAGTAAGAGCTGTTCAACCGTGGAACGGTCTCCCTCGGGAAGACTCTCCTTCCTTTGAGGTTTCTAAGCAGAGGTTGGATGGCCATCTGTCCTGGATGTTTTAGTTGAGATTTCTGCATTGCAGAGGGTTGGACTAGATGACCCTTGGGGTCCCTTCCAACTCTGCAATTCAAAACAATGGATTCAAATGAGAAGAAAGGATATTCCAGCTAAATCCCCACTCCTGCCACTCACCACCTGGCCCAGGGCGGGGCCTGATGGGCTCTATAAAGGACTTCTGCTGCCGCTGCTGCTGGACAGAGAGGGCTCCGTTTTGTGTTTTGTTTAAATTGCTGTTATTTTTTACCTATGTCATTTTAAACTGTGATATTAATGCTGCATTCTTAGTTTTAGATTTTGATTTATGTGGAAATTGTTTCCCATTTGGTTGTGTATTTTTTGATGTGGTTTATTTATTGTTTTGTAATTATGTACATTTTGTTATGCTCTAAGCCGCCTTGAGCATTGTTTTTTTAACTGTGGAAAGGTGGCATACAAATAAAAAACGATGATGATGATGATGATGATGATGATGATTAAACATTAGTTGGGACTTTCTGATGGTAAGAACAATAATGGAATGTGCGACCTTGAAAGCTGGTGGGCTCTGCTTCATTCAAGTTTTCAAAGCAGAGGCTGGATCTGTCATGGATGCTTTAGTTGAGATTCTTGTGTTGCACTGGGTTAGACTAGATGATCCTTGAGGTCTCCTCCAACTCTACAGTCCTATGAGAATGCTGACTGGAGGAGAGCTCCGGAAGTTCACCAAACCGTTTGCAGTTATGACCCAGGATCCCCTCCCAGCCTCCCACTTTATCACCTCCATCTCCCTTTCCTTTACACCCTCCAGGGAAAGGAGGAAACCAGTTCAACTTAGCATGACGAGAGGACAAATGGTTATTTCTTGGGGTGCCAGAGTTTTGAGGATGCAGGACACTCGTAATTCTTGGGTTTAGTAAAAGTTCAAATTCATTGAGGTTTGATTGAACTGTGCCAAAGGCTGCTAGGATTTCAGGGTGAATACTGTAAGCGAAGAGGGAAACAGTGTTCATCTTGCAAGTGCTTTGGGGAGCAGGATGGAGGGAGGAGCAGGATCTGGGCTGGCTGGGGCAGCCTGTTTTATGCCGCAGAGAAGATCAGACATGATGTTTGACATTTCTCAGAATCTGACGCTGCAGCGATGGGAAGAACACGACGTTCCTGAGATGCGAATGCTCTGCACTTTCTCCAATTAATGCAGGTTGTAAATATGTGCAAATAAACCATATATCTTAAAGACACTACAGACTCCACTGTGCCTCAGAGGCTCAAAGGAAATACAAGCCCTGGTAAGCGTACCAGGACCCTGGAATCTTGCAATGCTCAGAGATTTGGGTGGGACACTATGATTCATCTCCTGCCTGCCTATGCAAGGAAAAAATATTGGTGACGTTCTCCCTGCTTGCTTTTGCAGGACCAAAATAAGAAGAACAAGAACAGTCGGGTTTTGGCAATCTCTTCGTTGTGCAGAGACAGAAGAGCAGTTTGCTTCCTCTTGCCGTGAGTGTAATGACAGCTTCTCCTGGTGATCAGATCAGACCTTGCGTTATCCCATTGACCTTCTTAATCGCACTGTGCTCCTTGGCAAAGACGTGAGACGACATTTGTGTGAGCTGCTCTGTGCTGAACAGGTAGTGGCTGAAGGATACTGTCAGCACAACAGATGCCTAAGAGATGACAGAACAAGCTGTGGATATCAGAATCAGCAAGGCTGTTCCCCCCCGCCCTCCAAGACCAGAGTCCACTTTAAGCCGATAGAAGAAAAAGCATCGAGTCAAATTTAGTTTGCTATTGTGATGCAGAATCAAATGCTTCTTCAAAGGACATCTAGCCCAACCTGCTGGAAAACCGCTCTTTTGGTAGCCTCCTTAATTTTTTCCCTTTAAAACAGAGATAGAAGCTCTTCGAAATAAAGCAGAACTCGTGTCACCTGCTTCCCTGCTTCCTGAGTTTACATTGCTGAGAATCCCATTATGAACTGGGTCCCTGGTAGGTTTGAAAAAATGCAGTGTGGATGGGGGGGGAGGGGAGGAGAGATGCTACCCACCCACAGAAATAACTTCTGCTTGAAGTGCTTTTGTGCGCAAGTTTGCCTAACGCATCTCCTGAGGAGCCTGAGATGTTCTCAGTGCCTTTGAGGCTCCGGTTAAGTACCAATTGCCATGTTCCTGAAACACACTTAGCAGATAGAAGTGTTTGTTTCCTTCCATCGCTGGCGGATTTTATTATCCTTCTGGCGTATAATCGCATCCCATTTGGGCTGTTTTCATCTTTCTCTTAGACACAGCCCCAAAAGAGAGAGGAAACCTATAAAGGAGGACAAAGAAAGGGGCTGCAAAAGAACAAGGGAGCCGCCAGGGATATGCCTTCAGCCTCGGGGCAACAAGGATCAATGGGAACCTAGGAGAGATCAAGCCAGGTTCCCCCAACCTGGTGCCTTCCAGGTGCATTGGACTACAACTCCCATCAGCCCATGCCAGTGCAGGTTCACCTTGTTTTGCAAGCCTGGCTAGTGCTGAATGAGAATCCTCCAGCACCCGCCTGAAACTGTCATGGTCATGGGGTGTCTGTGTGCGCAAAAAGATGACCCCTTCGCCGAGGGTGTCTCTGGCGAAAAAATCCTAAATGAGCCGCAGTCTAGAAGAGACTTTGCTCGGTGTTTATTTTTAACCAGCTGCAAAATTCTGCACTGCACCGCTGTCTGCACCCTGAATAGCTCAGTTGCCAGTTTACTGCCGTGAATTGGTGAATTTATGGCGCTGATGTCACACGCTTCGTTAAAGATGCACACATGATGGTTCTCCCGTAAGGAGCTGACAAAGTGGGTGCTGTGATTTCCCAGTGGTTTGGCTTCACCCTCGGAGGTGAACTCCATTGTCTCTTGAGACAGATGGTTGCCAAGAACATCACCAGCCATCATCATCACCAGCTCCTTCCCCTCCCTCCACGGGCCAAGTTTGACCAGCGCATGAGGCCACCATGCTGTCAATCGGCTGATGTCATGGTGATATCAATCGGTCAGTTTTTATCCATGCACTTTGACGTTAAGCAACATTGGCGTGGTGGTGCTTGGGAGTTCTGGCAACCAGCTGAAGACTCAGGGAGGGGGTGAAACAGGGCAAGGAAAGTGGGTGGCTTAGGAGGGAGTCCTGAGAGCCTTCAAGGGCCCCTGAGGCTGAGGTTCCTCACTCCAGTTTTCTTTTTGCCCTGATCCCTTTAAGACATGGATGAATGAACAGATAGATCAGATTCAAAACACCCTCGTGTTGCCCTAGTAAAGGTAAAGGGACCCTGACCATTAGGTCCAGTCGCGGATGACTCTGGGGTTGCGGCGCTCATCTTGCTTTATTGGCGGAGTACAGCTTCCGGGTCATGTGGCCAGCATGACTAAGCCACTTCTGGCGAACCAGAGCAGCGCACGGAAATGCCGTTTACCTTCTCACCGGTGTGGTACTTATTTATCTACTTGCACTTTGACGTGCTTTCAAACTGCTAGGTTGGCAGGAGCCGGGACCGGGCAATGGGAGCTCACCCCGTCTTGGGGATTCGAACCACCGACCTTCTGATCAGCAAGCCCTAGGTTCTGTGGTTTAACCCACAGTGCCACCTGCTTCCCTAAGCCCTAGTAGGGTGGACTATAAATAAGTTTGACAGACATCCGTAGGAGAGGCTCTTAGCATCCAAGGCAAGAACTAGGCAAGATACTATTTCCCCAGGGAGCTGCCATCACGCTGCCATTCTGGCATCTGCCAAGGCTGACACCTTTCTGAGCAAAATGCAAAAAAAAAAAAAAAATTAAGAAGAAAGCATACCAGGCCCTGGGCTATAATTTCTTCTGAGAGCACCGAGTAATGGAAGGGGATGGCTGAGGAGGAGCCAGCGCACCTGTAGTTGACAACGCCATCGCTGCTGCTTTGATGAGAAGATTGGCTGTCTGTGGCAAGCGCTCCGATATGAAAGGCCTCAGTAAGGAAAGAGCTTCTGTGCAACGGACCCATGAAAATCAGGTCCTGCCTTGCCCTTCTCTCTGCGGGAGGTTAAATCTTCCCAGTTTCCCCAATCCGTGCCACCATCTCAGGTGCTCAGCAACTTTTCGAATGAGTCACACTAAGCTGGTGTGTGGGAAGGGAGGGGACAGAAAGCAAATCTTCTTTGGCGATCCCTCGTAGTTGAGTAAGGTTGTCTTCCATAAACACGGTTTTAAAAGTGAGTCCGTAAGTGACTGTGGAGGCCAATTCTGGATCCACACTTCCTTCCATAGTGGGGACATTGGTTTCCGGGCAGGAGTTGATCGCGGTGTGGATTTGCCAAGCGTGCCTTCCTCTTAGCACATTTCTCCCTTTCATCCTGAATTTGAGCATCTTCAAAGCCCATGACACCTTTGGTAAAGGCTGTTCTCCAACTAGAGTGCTCACAGGCCAGTGTTTCCCAGTTGTCGGTGTTTATACTACGGTACATTTTTTTAGCTTTGCCTTGAGACAGTCTTTAAACCTCTTTTGTTGACCACCAGCATTACGCTTTCCATTTTTAAGTTCGGAATAGAGTGGTTGCCTTGGAATACGATCGTCAGGCATCCACCAACATGACCAGTCCAACAAAGCTGATGTTGGAGAATCATTGCTTCAACACTGACGATCTTTGCTCCTTCCAGGACACAGGTATTAGTTCACCTGTCTTCCAAAGTGACATGTAAAAAATTTCGGAGACACCGTTGATGGAATATTTCGAGGAGTTGGAGATGGTGTTTATAAGTGGTCCTCTCTGTGGGAGGTTAAATCTTCCCAGTTTCCCCAATCCGTGCCACCATCGCAGGTGCTCAGCAATTTTTTTGAATGAGTCACACTAAGCTGGTGTGTGGGAAGGGGGGGGGGAGAGAAAGGGAGGGCCCCCTTCTCTGGACACAGGCTGTTCCATCTTTTCTCTGTGCATGGATGGAAAATTAGATCTCCGCAGGATCCTTTGTGTGCGTGTGTCAAGAAGCAATTATGTTAAGTACTTTGAATAAAGCGAGGATTGTCTGACAAACACTTGCTATTTTTCCAATCATGCGCCTGCCGGTGACTACAAAATGTGCCAGAACAGTGTTCTTTATGGGATGGAGTGTGCTCGCCTGGCAATACGAAAATAAGAGTTGGCTTTCGCGGTGGGAGAAGTGATGTTGATTATTATTTTATTATGATGATGGCTATTTATACAGAAGGCATCAAGCCTGCACAGCCACCTAGCAGAGCTTTTCTGCAGGCAGGAGCTGACAGGTGTTTGGCGAAACGTAGTTTGCGAGTGCATTGCAAAACATTTGCTCACTTTAAAATAAGGGATAGGGGATTGGTTCAGTTTGGTTCTTAGCTAGATCATACTTCTTCATGCATTGCACAAAATGAGCTTACAGATGAGCTGAGAGTTAAGAAGGGAATGTACAGTATGAGAAATGGAAGAAAGGAGGAATCACAAAGGAGGAGTATAAACGAGGAGCCAACAGTTGCAGGGGAGATGTCAGGCTGGCTAAAGCTCAGAATGAGCTCAGGCTTGCAAGAGGGGTTAAAAAAGGTTTCTTCAGCTATGTCCAAAGTAAGAGGAATGTTATGTACTGAGTTGAATAGGATCCAAAATGCAGCAGTCTGATTGGTCCTAGAACAAAAGGATCCAGAATGCAGCAACCTGATTGGTCCTAGAACAATCGGATCCAGAATGCAGCAGTCTGATTGGTCCGCAGGAGCCACCCAATCCAGCTCCAGGTGGAAGTGAATCCGCAACCTACAGGAGAATCCCGGAATTAGCCAATCACGTGGGGCCCATTGTGTAAATAATGTATATAAAGCAGACATTGTGGGGGAACTTCCATTCCTTCCTCGCTACTATGAGCTGAATAAAGAACATGAAATCCACACTCGACTCCGAGTTTATTTCAAGGAAGATCAAGCAAGTGGTTGGTCCTCTGCGTCGGGAAGACGGATAAATGCTATTGGATGACAGAGAAAAGGCAGAACTACTCAACACCTACTTTGCCTCTGTCTTCAAAGGAAAGTAATGCCCAACCTGGTGATAACAAAATATAATAATGATGGCGATGCTACTATTTATACCCCACTCATCTGACTGGGTTGCCCCAGCCACTCTGGGTGTCTTCCAACATCTATAAAAGCATAATAAAGCATTAAGCATTAAATAACTTCCCTATACAGGGCTGCCTTCAGATGGCTCAGGGGTCGGATATCTCCATACCCGCCAACATTCCTCCAGTGAAAATAGGGACGTCCCATGGACTGCAAGAAGATCAAACCTCTCCATTCTTAAGGGAATCAGCCCTGAGTGCTCACTGGAAGGACAGATCCTGAAGCTGAGGCTCCAAGACTTTGGCCACCTCATGAGAAGAGAAGACTCCCTGGAAAAGACCCTGATGTTGGGAAAGATGGAGGGCGCAAGGAGAAGGGGACGACAGAGGACGAGATGGTGGGACGGTGTTCTCGAAGCGACCAGCATGAGTTTGACCAAACTGCGGGAGGCAGTGGAAGACAGGAGGGGCTGGCGTGCTCTGGTCCAGGGGGTCACGAAGAGTCAGACACGACTAAACGACAACAACAACAACAAGGAAAAGCGGGACATGCTGGGATCAAATCAGAAACTGGGACAGCCTCTGTAAATCCGGAAACGTCCTTGGAAAATAGGGACATTTGGAGGGTCTGTAAGAGATGCTTTGACTGAGAATCCTGCATTGCAGGGGGTTGGACTAGATGACCCCGGGTGTCCCTTTGCACTCTAGAATCCTACTTGAAAGCTGACTGGAGGAGGCCTCCAGTAGTCCACCAAACCGTCTACAGTGGTGACCGAGGATCCCTTCCCAGCCTCCCACTTTGTCCCCTCCATTTCCCCCTTCCTTTACACCCTGCTGTCCCCACCTCCAAGTGGAAGCCAGCTCAGCTTAGTGTGACGGGCAGGACGCAGAGGTTAAAGGTCACGAAGACCCCAGGAGAGGGAAAGGAGGGGTGGCGCCGGGTGGCGGGGGCAGCAGCCCACTGCTGCAAATGTGGCTTGACAGGACCGAGCACCGACACAAGCACACACAGACTCCTTGCCAACTCGGGTGTTGCAGGTCAGGTGCCAAGCGGTCCGCTGCCCGCCTGCCTTCTCCGGACCCCGTCCCCCCAGGTAGCGGCTGACCGCTGGCCTTGTTTCACCAGGCCTGCGACTCGAGAAGAGAAAAGTTTCCTAATCAGCCGAGACAAGAAGCACATTCGCCCCCAGCAGTGACATTTTTAGCAGGGACACTTGAAAAATAAATAGAAGCAAACGTGTTCTCTCGTTCCTCCCGCCAACAAGGTCTTTGCCTCTTGGACACTGCTGTTTCTTTGCTTAATCTCCTCTTTTCTTCGCCCCCTCTCTGCCGCCCTTTTCTGACCCCCTTCCCTCCTTTTTCCGGCAAATCACAATAGCCTTTGAATGCACAGCTTTGCACCTTGTGAAACACATCACGGCCAGAGAAGCCACACAGAGAATGGGTTGCACCCATAATCAGAGTAAATCGCATTCAGAATAGGCTCGTTGGAAATATTGGAGCTAAGGTTGCCATTTTGAGCAGAGGATGCTTGTTACTATTATTCATTAATTTATTTTTCCTCTTCTAAACCACCGTCTCAAAGCAACTGTCCTGTTTTTTTAAGGGACATTTTTTTAACAGTGCTGTGATGTTTTTATTATCCGTCTCTTAAGAAATTCATTTCCTTATGTCATTTTAATTTTATTAGCATTTAAAAGCATTCTGGTTGGTTTTTTGAAAAAAAATATTTATTCTCTTTTCTGTTACACATTCTCCACTGATACATAGACTGCATACAGAATGCATAAACTAAAACAATCAAAACTAAACAAATAAATAATCTTGTGACATTTGATAGTTTTCTAACAACTGTCTTTTATATCAGCTTTTGGCTTTTTGCATTTTATCTGGGTTGTTTTTGGTTTGTGAAGACCACCTTGAGTTCTGCTCCAGGGAAAATGCAGGATAATAATAATAATAATAATAATAATAATAATAATAATAATAATACATAAGATAACAGAAAACAAGAAATGCATTTAAAACACACCAAAAACCCTAACAAGTTGACACTTGTGCTAAAGACTCATCCATCCATCCATTTAATTATTGTTCATTTCATTTGCGTGGACAGGCAGAGACCCCCCAACCCCAGGCCGGCTCTCACATGGAATAAAGACACATAACAATGTGTTTGTTGTTGTTCTTGTTTAGTCATTCAGTCGTGTTCGACTCTTTGTGACCCCCTGGACCAGAGCACGCCAGGCCCTCCTGTCTTCCACTGCCTCCCGCAGTTTGGTCAGACTCATGTTTGTAGCTTTGTAGAACACTGTCCCACCATCTCGCGTCCCCTTCTCCTTGTGCCCTCCATCTTTCCCAACATCAGGATCTTTTCCAGGGAGTCTTCTCTTCTCATGAGGTGGCCAAAGTCTTGGAGCCTCAGCTTCACGATCTGTCCTTCCAGTGAGCACTCAGGGCTGATTTCCTTCAGAATGGAGAGGTTTGATCTTCTTGCAGTCCATGGGACTCTCAAGAGTCTCCTCCAGCACCATAATTCAAAAGCATCCATTCTTCGGCGATCAGCCTTTTTTATGGACCAGTTCTCACTTCCATACATCCTATTGTCTTTGTCCACGGAATTTTCTTGGCAGGGATACTGGAGTGGCTTGCCGGTTCCTGCTCCAGGTGGATCACGTTTGGTCAAAACTCTCCACTATGACCTGTCCATCTTGGGTGGCCCTGCACGGCATAGCTCATAGCTTCTCTGAGTTATTCAAGCCCCTTCGCCACGGCAAGGCAGTGATTGCGTTATGGGATTAAAATTGGCCACAACTTTATTAGGTGTTTATCCCTCCTTGGGCGTTTATCCCTCCCAGTCCCCGGCCAGCGAGCTGGGGAACATCAGGGATATCTAGATTGAGTGGGGATTGGGCTGGCTCTGGAGAACATCTGTTCAAGCAGAGAGCCCCCCCCCATTCGCCGCAACATGGGGGAGACCGATCACAGCCTCTCGACTTATGGCCAATGACTCCCCTCAGAGCAACCCCTTTAACGGGGAACCCTGGGATTGCCGCCATGGGGGGGCGTGGGTCCCTGCTTCACGCCCCCCCCCATTTTAGGGAAGAAAGACTAAAGGATTCCACCCAGTTCTGCTGTCTGCCTGCTGCCTCCCCCCCCCCAGCTGTAAGGTGGCTGAGGCCCCACAGCACGCGGCAGTGCCCATAGGGACCGTGGCACCCAGCACGGGGGCCTCAGCTGTCCTGCAGCTGGGGGGGAGGCAGCAGGCGGACAGCAGAACTGCACGGTATCACCCTGCCCCCGGGCACGCCGCACCAGGCACCCAGAAACCTTCCTCCGCCGCTGGCAGGCGGAATTTTCAGAAGTCAGTTATATGGCAGCTCATTTGGGAAGTGCTGATTATTCTTATTATTTTGCGATTTTCCATAAAAAGATATTTTGCAACAGATCTGGCTTTTCCATTTGTTGTTTGGACCCAGCACAGAGCATGCAGGTCTCTGTGTCTCCAGCTTCCAGCTCAGCTCACAACCCTGACTCTGGCTATTGTCCTACCTAGCAGACAGGTGAGGGGGTGGAGGAAGAACCTGCCAATTGCCCGAGGGCCTCATCGCTTGCAACCTGGCTCTTGCAACCTGACACATTCTTTGGAGAAGCTTATGAGGACATCCAAGTGGCCAGCTGAGGGCCTTGTCTTATAAAGAAACCAGTTCAGCAATAGAATCTGACCTTCACTGGGTACAGGACCCCCACCCCCATGAATTGGAAGGGATGCAGGGCATCATCTAGACTGACCCCCTCTCCCCAAACCCACAGCATCACATCAGGAGCAGGTGAGCCTTCAAGGCTGTGGAGAATGAAATATACTCAGAGTCGCAAAGTGATTTCATGCTCTTTATTCAGCTCATAGTGGTGAGGAGGAATGAATGTCCCCTCAAAGTATCTGCTTTATATACATTATTTACACAATGGGCTGCACATGATTGGTTAATTCTGGAATTCTACTGTAAGCCAATCAGGTTGTGGATTCACTTATATCTGGAGCATGATTGGGTGGTTCCTGCCAACCAATCATACTGCTGCATTGTTCTTGGACCAATCAGACTGCTGCATTCTGAATCCTATTGTTCTAGGACCAATCAGACTGCTGCAATTTGGATCCTATTGTTCTAGGACTGCTGCAGTTTGGATCCTATTCAACTCAGTACATAACACCCCTCCCCTCTAAGTTCCAGTCCTGCCCGGGAGGTCGCATTCATAGTCCTCGAGGTACGCCGGCGGCCTACGTGTGCGTTGCGGCCTGTGGTGTTCAGGTTCTGGCTCGTGTTCCAAGGATGCTGGCTGTGATGGGCCTGTTTGGTCTGGCGCAACCGGCTCGCTCAGTCGTGGTTCTGGTTCCGGTGTCCTTTCGGCCTCGCGGGTCCTCTCTGTATTTACTGATTCTGCCTCTCCTGCTGGCCCCTCCTGCTCTATGGGCCTCACTGCCCCTCTGTTCCCTTGGGACTCCTCAGACCTTTCCTCCTCCTGGTTTTCTCCTGGGAATCGTCGCCGTATCTGGTCGCAGTGGCGGCGCCAGCATTGCCCCCCATCCGTTAGCACCTCGTACGACACGGGGCCAGTGACCCTGGTGACTGTGGCGGGTACCCATGCTGGGCCTGCCCCAAAATTCTTTGCATACACTGGGTCCTGGGCCTCGAAGGTCCGGGGGTTCCTGCCTTCCCCCACCACTACCTCATCCTGAGCTCTATCGGGGTGAAGGCGGTCCAATCTGATTGCAAGGCGCCGACCCATTAGTAGTTCAGCGGGGCTCCGGCCAGTCGTTGAGCTGGGGGTGCTGTGCTGTGCTAGGAGGAATGTGGCAAGGCGGTACTCCCAATCCCCTTGCGTCATGCGGCGAAGGGTGTCCTTGGTGGTCCGCACCATGCGTTCTGCTTGGCCATTGGTGGCAGGGTGGAATGGCGCCGAACGGATGTGGCGGATGGCGTTCTGCGCTGTGAAGGTTTGGAATTCTCCTGACGTAAATGCAGTCCCGTTGTCTGAGACGAGAGTGTCAGGGAGCCCGTGGGTTGCAAACAGCCTGCGTAGTACCCGGATGGCTGCGGATGTAGAAGTGGACGGTACCAGTGCGACTTCCAGCCATTTGGTGTAGGAGTCCACCACTATGAAGAATGTTTTCCCCTGAAAGGGGCCAGCGAAGTCCACATGCAGGCGTGACCATGGTGCTCGGGCGGACTCCCAGGACTGGACTGGGGCCCTTGGGGGATCTGGGCGGGATTCTTGGCAGGCCTGGCAGTGTTTGACCCAGGCCTCTATCTCTCCGTCGATCCCTGGCCACCACACATAACTCCTGGCAAGGGCCTTCATTCTTACTACCCCTGGGTGTGTCTCGTGTAGGGCTGTGAGGACCCTTTTGCGGAGGGGCTGGGGAACAACGACCCTGCTTCCCCATAACAGGCACCCCTTGTGGGCCGACAGTTCATGTTTGCGGGTTGTGTAGCCAGCGAATTCTGGCCCAGGGCTGCTGCTGGGCCATCCCCTCCATACCCAGTCCAGGACCCGGGAGATGACCCTATCTTTCTTGGAATGGTGTGCAACTTCTTGTGCCTGAATGGGGCGGTCGGGAAGCAGCTCCAGGCTCATAACCTCTTGTGCAGGTGCTGGGTCGGGGCCTGTTTCCGGTAGTGGTAGCCTGCTGAGGGCGTCTGCATGGCCCATTGCCTTCCAGGTCAGTGAATCAGTGCATACTGGTAGCTGGCAAGGAAAATTGACCACCTGAGGACGCGAGGAGACAGCACTTGGGGGGTCTGCTTTTCAGGGGCAAACAAGCCAAGCAACGGCTTGTGGTCAGTCACCACAGTGAAGGGCTGCCTGTACAAGAAATCATGGAATTTTTTTACTCCCTTCACGATTGCCAGACCCTCCTTGTCTATTTGCGAGTAGTTCCGCTCGGTTGCGTTGAGTGTCTGGGAAAAGTATGCCACCGGTACCTCTCTTCCATCCGGGAGTTGGTGTCCCAGGACAGCGCCAATGCCATAGGGCGAGGCGTCGCATGCTAGCACCACCGGCAGCCTCTCGTCGAAGTGTGCCAAGACCGAGTTTGAGACAAGCAAGTCCTTGACTGCCTGGAATGCAGCCTCCTGGCGCTGGCCCCACACCCAAGGGGCCCGCTTGTCCAGGAGTCTGTGTAGGGGCTCTGCTACCGCCGCCTTGTGAGGAAGGAAGGAATGGTAAAAGTTCAATAGTCCCAAGAAGGCCTGAAGTTCAGTCTTGCTCTTGGGCGCTGGGGCATCACAAATGGCCCGTACCTTGTCCCCAGTCGGGTGGACCCCTTCTGCGTCCACCATAAATCCCAGAAAGTCCACCTGAGGCACTCCTAGTAGACATTTTTCCCGCTTCACCTTGAGACCCGCCGTCTGGAAACGGTGCAGAACGGTGCGGAGGCGGTCCTCAAACTCCTCTGGTGTGGGCCCGGCAATCAACACATCATCGAAGAAGGGGGTGACGCCAGGAATCCCTTTAAGGAGAGAGTCCATTAGATTCTGGAATATGCCTGGTGCCACGCTGACACCGAATTGCAGCCGCTTTACCCTGAACGCTCCTCTGTGCGTCACAATCGTCTGTGCCTCTGCTGTGGCCTCATCTACTGGCAGCTGTTGATATGCTTGGGCCAAGTCCAGCTTGCCAAAATTTTCGACCCAGCCAGGGTGGCAAGGACATGGCTGACCACTGGCACTGGGTATGCGTGGGCCGTGAGGGCCTTGTTTATGGTACATTTGTAGTCTGCGCAGATGCGGACCGAACCATTAGGCTTGACGGGTGTGACGATTGGGGTTTCCCAGGGGCATTAGGCACCGGCTCCAGCACTCCTTGCTCCACGAGTCGGTCCAATTCCTCGTCTATACGGGGTTTCAAGGCGAACGGGACCCGGCGGGCCTTGAGCCTGACCGGTCGTACTGCGGGGTCAAGCTGTAGCGCAATGGGGGCCCGTATACTGTCCCAATTTCCCATCGAAAACCCCTGGAAATTCCTTGCATATGGCGTCCACGTCCACTTGTAAGCTAGTGTGGTTCACCCCGGTGACAGCTAGCCCCAGTGGTCCAAACCATGCCAATCCCAGTAAGCTAATGTAGGGGCCCTTGACCACAAGCAAGTCCAGTTGCCGCGTCCGCCCTCGGTATTGCACCCTGAAGGTCCCCACCCCCATTGTGGGGACCTTACGTTTCTGGAAGTCCCGTAGGGTGAATGGGGCCGGCCTGAGTTTGGGACCCCCAGTAGGACACAGTTTCCTTAAGGTCCTTGCCGAGATTATGGATAGAGTTGAACCCGTGTCAAGCTCCATGCGGCATGGGGCCCCCTCTATCTGTACCTCTACATAAATTTTCTCTACGTTGGGGTGGGGCAACTGGTATACCTGGCAGTCCGTGAGCTCCGTCGAGTTGCCTTGATGCGTTGGGCCCCGGGACCTGGGGCTCTTGGATTGGTCATCTGATGCCTGGTGTCGGGTGGGCCGAGCCCGACACACCCGGGCGATGTGTCCCGATTTTCTGCACTGCCTGCACTCTGCGTTGCGGAAACGGCAGGTCCTCCTCTCGTGACTCTCCCCGCAGCTTGCGCAGTTCCCTCCTTCTCGTCGAGGCAGCTGTGGTCTGTGCGCTGCTTGAGTGCGCTGCTGTACTCGGTGCACCTCCTCCCTGTCGGATCCTGAGTCGTCTGTGAGGTCTTCGTGGTGGACCCTCGGTTGGGATGGCAGGCTCGGCCGTGCCTCTTGCGTCGACCTCTCGGCAGCTTCCGTTGCCAGGGCCTCCTCCAGAGCGACCTGGAACGTTAGGTCCTTCTTAGCGTAGAGGCGTCGTTGCAGCTTCTCATCCTTCAGGCCACCGACGAGGCGGTCCCGAAGCATGTTCTCTAGCTCTGAGAAGTTGCAGAACCGGGCGGCTTGGCGGAGAGAGGTCACAAACCCAGTTATGGTTTCCCCAGGGGCTTGCCGCTTTGCGTAGAAGGCATTTCGACGAGCCACCACTGAGGGCTGCGGCGAAAAGTGCCCCTTCAGCTGTTCCATTATTGTTTTGTATGGAACAGTAGCGACGTCTTCAGGCGCAAGGAGAGCCCGGGCGATTTCAAACGTCTCCTCTCCGCAGACGCTGAAGAATATCGCCCTCTTCTTGGCGTCTTCTTCGTCGGTGACCCCTTTGGCTTCTAGGAGGAAGGTGAAACGGGAGGCGTACGCTTCCCAGTCTCCAGATGCTGGGTTGAATGGCGAGAAGCTGCTGTTGGCTGCCATTCTGAGTTCCTTGTGTCCCGGAGCTGAAGCCTGGATACACGGTGCGAGGCAGCGGTGCGGCAGGTGGCGGTGCTGCGGTGCTGTGTGTGGCAGTCAGCTCAGCGGGATCCCACCTTCGTCGCCAGTGAAATATACTCAGAGTCGCAAAGTGATTTCATGCTCTTTATTCAGCTCATAGTGGTGAGGAGGAATGAATGTCCCCTCAAAGTATCTGCTTTATATACATTATTTACACAATGGGCTGCACATGATTGGTTAATTCTGGAATTCTACTGTAAGCCAATCAGGTTGTGGATTCACTTATATCTGGAGCATGATTGGGTGGTTCCTGCCAACCAATCATACTGCTGCATTGTTCTTGGACCAATCAGACTGCTGCATTCTGAATCCTATTGTTCTAGGACCAATCAGACTGCTGCAATTTGGATCCTATTGTTCTAGGACTGCTGCAGTTTGGATCCTATTCAACTCAGTACATAACAGAGAAGCTAACCAGAGAGCTTACTGGCTGTGGGTGGATTTGAACCTGAGGCTTGCCTGTCAAAGCCAGCAGTTCCCTCCCTCTCCCGGCATATTCCTCGCCGGCGCCTCTGTACCCAGCAGTTTCAACAAGGCAGCGATCTTTTACTTCCCGCAAAGCCCAGGAGGTGAAAGGCGAAGCGCCGGTCCTTAAAAGTCTCCCTGCTCAAGAGCCCTTCCACAAATCCTTTGGCATTCAAGGAGGCCGATGACAAGATGGCAGTGACTCAGGCTCTTTTGAAAGGCGGGCGATAAATGGAGGCGGTGATAGGAATGAGATCCGGCAGACAGGTGGATTGCCCCATCAGGCATCGAGAGAGTGACACGACATCTCTGGGCCAAGACGATAATCGCCAACATGGGATGGGTGTCTGGTTTCAATGCCTGCCACACCTTTTAAACCAAGTAGGGGAAAGGTGCCAGACCTAGCATGCGAAATATTCATTCGTTTGCTTTATTTATACCCCACCTTTCCTCAAGCGCAAGGTGGCGTACGTGGCTTAACTCATCCCTTATTTATCTTCACAGCACCCCTGCAAAGTAGGCTAGGCTAAGAGAGTCACTCAATCAGCTTCCGGGCTGAGTGAGGGATTTGATTCCTGGTCTTCCTAAGCTCAACATCAAAAAAACGAAGATCATGGCCACTGGTCCCATCACCTCCTGGCAAATAGAAGGGGAAGAAATGGAGGCAGTGAGAGATTTTACTTTCTTGGGCTCCATGATCACTGCAGATGGTGACAGCAGCCACGAAATTAAAAGACTCCTGCTTCTTGGGAGAAAAGCAATGACAAACCTAGACAGCATCTTAAAAAGCAGAGACATCACCTGGCCAACAAAGGTCCGTATAGTTAAAGCTGTGGTTTTCCCAGTAGTGATGTATGGAAGTGAGAGCTGGACCATAAAGAAGGCTGATCTCTGAAGAATTGATGCTTTTGAATTCTGGTGCTGGAGGAGACTCTTGAGAGTCCCATGGACTGCAAGAAGATCAAACCTCTCCATTCTGAAGGAAATCAGCCCTGAGTGCTCACTGGAAGGACAGATCGTGAAGCTGAGGCTCCAAGACTTTGGCCACCTCATGAGAAGAGAAAAGACCCTGGAAAAGACCCTGATGTTGGGAAAGATGGAGGGCACAAGGAGAAGGGGATGACAGAGGATGAGATAGTTGGACAGTGTTCTTGAAGCTACCAGCATGAGTTTGACCAAACTGCGGGAGGCAGTGGAAGACAGGAGTGCCTGGCCTACTCTTGTCCAGGAGGTCACGAAGAGTCGGACACGACTAAACGACTAAACAACAACAACTTCCAGGTCCTAGTCCTCAATTAATCCCCACAACAGCCCTAGGAGGTAAAATAGGCTGAGAGGCAATGACGGGCCTCACCCAGTGAGATTAGGGGCCGAGCAAGGATTTGAACCCAGGCCTCCCAGAGCCGGTCCAGGCATTAGGCAGGGTGAGGTTGCTGCCTCAGGTGGGGTAAGCCCCCAGGGTGACACCCTCACAGGCGCCCCACCTGCCCTGAAACTGCCGCCATCACCGCCGATTTCAGGTGAGATCATTTTGGGCAAGATCTCGCCTGAGAACCTGTGGAGTGTGCAAGATCTCAGGGGATTTGGGGTGAGACTGGCATGATCTTGCCTGAAATTGCTGCCAACGGTGGTGCTGCTTCTCTGATGCAGAAATGGGAGGGCTACGCTATGTCAGCAACAAGAATCCTGGTGGCTAAGTATTGGAAAGGGAATCAGTTACCCACTAGGGGAGAGTGGCTATGTAAGCCCTCAGAATACTTAGAATTAGGCAAATTGACAGACATAATAAGACAAAAACCAAAAAGTGAAGTAAAATAAAATAAAATGGGAGTGCCTAAATGAATACCTCAAAAGTCAAGGTTCGAGGACAGAAATCTGGCTGAGTCTGGAATAACCTTGTGAAGCAAAAGGATATGGAAGAGGGATTTATATCTAGATGTTAGGATAGAGATGACAAAGAAAACAGGAAAACAGGAAAACACAATGAGAGATAAAGGAGGTGCTGTGGGATTGGTGGAAGTCAATGTCTTGTTGTCGTTGTTTTAGTGTTTATAATATTAACTTGTAAGATATGGATTTGGGTTTTTTGTTTTTGTTTTGTTGTTGTTGCTTTCTTTGGTTTTTGAATGTTGATTTTTGTGTGTTGTATGTTGTTATTTTTCAATATCTTTCGTGTTGTTGTTATGTGGAAAATACTAATAAAATTTATATTAAAAAAAGGGAAAAAAGAAATTGGAGGGCTGAACCTGGAAAAATAGAGAAGAAGAAACCAAAACTCACAGACCTGTCATGAGAACATAATAAGAGTCTTCTGGATCTGGCCAATGGCCCATTGAGTCCAGCCAGCATCCCTTTCTCCCAGTGGCCAACCAGATGCCCATTATGGGAAACCTGCAAGCGGGATTCGAACACAGAAGCGACTCTCTGCTCCTGTGGTTTCCAGATCCATTGCTTCCTCCAACTGTGGAGGGCCCAGCACTTCCATCCTTGCTAGTAGCCAGACAGACAGACATAATTTTATTTGCAAGCCACTGTTTCACAGTTCAAACCATGCTCAAGGTGGCCCACACTATGAAAAAAACCCAAGTGCAACAAAACAACAGGGGCCGTAAACAATCAACAAAATGTTGAAAAATACATAACTAATTTGAACAATTTCTGCATGATTCTAGATTCAGGTAGGTAGCCGTGTTGGTCTGACGCAGTCAAAATAAATAAAAAAATTGTCCAGTAGCACCTTAGAGACCAACTAGGTTTGTTCTGGGTATAAGCTTTCGTGTGCATGCGCACTTCTTCAGATACCTGTACAGTGGTACCTCGGGTTAAGTACTTAATTCGTTTTGGAGGTCCATTCTTAACCTGAAACTGTTCTTAACCTGAAGCACCACTTTAGCAAATGGGGCCTCCCGATGCCACCACGCCACCGGAGCACGACTTCTGTTCTCATCCTGAAGCACAGTTCTTAACCTGAAGCACTGTTTCTGGGTTAGCGGAGTAGGTAACCTGAAGTGAATGTAACCCGAGCTACCACTGTATCTGAAAGTATCTGAATCCGAACCTGTATCTGAAAATACCTGTATCTGAAGTATCTGAAGATGTGTGCATGCAGACGAAACCTTATCCCCAGAACAAACTTAGTTGGTCTCTTAGGTGTTACTGGACAATTTTTTAATTTCTGCATGAATCACAACAGAATCTAAAATAAAGATATTTATTTTTAAACCAACAGCAACAACCCTATTGCAACAAACTACCCCCCCCCAACAACCGCCATCCAAAACAACAGCCTAGCCCAGGCATCTGTTCAAGCATCAGTCTCAGCTTTTGTAGCTGGAGTCAGTCCGGACCCCACCCTCCCAGGCCAGGTGGGAAAGACCTGCAAGGCAGGGATCAGGTCTTCCAGGACTCCCAGCTGAGAAGGTCTGCCATCGATCACCCACCCCTAAGGTCAGACTCTGCCTCAGCTTTGCTGTTTTGCAAGTCCGTTGTGTGTCCTCGTTGCAGCATTCCTTTTCACCACCCTCTAGCTAATCTGCTCTACAGATCTTCCTCCATCAGGAACACCTTCTCTGCGTTCCTGAGCCTGCCAGATACTTTTCACCTTTGTTTGGGAGGGGATGGAATGTACGCAGCTTACCTGAGAAAGCAGGGATAGAATGGCCTCTAATGATACGTTGAGGCAGCACATGATTATTCCTTTTAACGTAATGATTGTTTGTGCTGACGGGACCAGGAGAAGATCTCCTGGGACATGCCGTATTCAGAGCAAAACCTTTTCTTCCTGGAGATCAAATCCACACTTAGGTATTCTGTTGCGTGTCAACTCCACCTCTACCTCTCTTTCAAATCAGAACCAGTAAAGGCGGTGAAGGTCCTGTGTGAGTGCCTGGAGGGGGTTGGAGGATGGATGGCGGCTAATAGATTGAGGTTGAATCCTGACAAGACAGAAGTACTGTTTTTGGGGGACGGGGGCGAGCTGGTGTGGAGGACTCCCTGGTCCTGAATGGGGTAACTGTGCCCCTGAAGGACCAGGTGCGCAGCCTGGGAGTCATTCTGGACTCACAGCTGTCCATGGAAGTGCAGGTCAATTCTGTGTCCAGGGCAGCTGTCTACCAGCTCCATCTGGTACACAGGCTGAGACCCTCCCTGCCCACAGACTATCTCGCCAGAGTGGTGCATGCTCTGGTTATCTCCCACATGGACTACTGCAGTGCGCTCTACGTGGGGCTACCTTTGAAGGTGACCCAGAAACTGCAATTAATCCAGAATGCGGCAGCTAGACTGGTGACTGGGAGCGGCCACCGAGACCACATAACACCGGTCTTGAAAGATCTACATTGGCTCCTAGTACGTTTCTGAGCAAAATTCAAAGTGTTGGTGCTGACCTTTAAAGCCCTAAATGGTCTCGGTCCAGTATACCTGAAGGAGCGTCTCCACCCCCATCATTCAGCCCAGACACTGAGGTCCAGCACCGAGGGTCTTCTGGCGGTTCCCTCACTGCAAGAAGCCAAGTTACAGGGAACCAGGCAGAGGGCCTTCTTGGTGGTGGCACCCACCCTGTGGAACACCCTCCCACCAGATGTCAAAGAGAAGAACAACTTCCAGACTTTTAGAAGACATCTGAAGGCAGTCCTGTTTAGGGAAACTTTTAATGTTTAATAGACTATTGTATTTTAATATTCTGTTGGAAGCCGCCCAGAGTGGCTGGGGAAACCCAGCCAGATGTGTGGGGTATAAATAATAAATTATTATTATTATAATTCCTCCCAGCACAATTACAAAACTGAAGAGCGAAGACTGACATAAATTCTCTAGTTTTGGGGAAGTGGTGTGAACTCTCTCTTCCTCTCCATTCTGGGGCATCTGTTCTGTGGGGCAGAAGATCAGACCGTGTGTAGAGATCACCTCCAGCCCCTCTGCCTTTGAACACCTGCCTGTCTTCAGCCTTACTTAAAAGAGCAAACTCCCAGGCGTGTGTTTCAGCCGCTGCAGCAACAGAGCAGAGAGTCCCCGGGCGCTTGCTGAGGCTGCTCCAGTGTTTATCACTCACTGCAGTTGCTTCCTCCCCAAGGGCAAAGGGGGGCAGGGAGCAGCAACAGGAACAGTTGGCAAGGCTTTGAGCTAGCTGGCAAGGAAGTGCACATTGGGTCATCTGCGGAGATGCGCGGCGCAGGTAGTTCTCGAGAAAGGTGTCGCAATGGTTGTTGATCCAGGTGAAGCTGCGAAACAAAAGAGTCCGATCCAGGAACGAAGAGCGAACAGAGAGGGTGTGTCTGGAAGTGCTGTCGTTTTAAGATGCTGTCACTCAACAGGCCTGCGAAACCAACAATGCCCGGGCCATCTCCATAGCTTTTATTTTCACGCTGTGTGCTCTCTGCAAGTTTCAAAGGTAAAACAGTGCCGTGATGTGCTTGCCAGGCAAAGGACAGCGGCTGTCAGGAAGATCATGACACACGGTGATACACAGAGACACAGGGATGGGTCACTTTGGGTTCCTCCTCTCGATTTCTCATTATTATTATTATTATTATTATTATTGCCGTCTTAAGCTCAGATCTCCACCTTTCCACACCAGTTTCTGGATTTTTAGGCATCAGCTCCAGTCTCTTTCTGGCCCTAGGAACCAGGACATATTGGCTTCCACGGATGGGAAACGGAGTCTAAAACATCTTGAGGGCATAATAATGATGATGATAATGATAATAATTTATTTATTCCCCGCCCATCTAGCTGGGTTTCCCCAGCCACTCTGGGCGGCTTCCAACAAAATATTAAAATACAATAACCCGTCAAACATTAAAAGCATCCCTAAACACCCAGGAGGGACTCTCATATGAGAAAGGTTGCAGCGTTTGGGACTTTTGGAGAAAAGGTGAGAGTTCACAGAGAACCCCATCGTTATGCCCGAACACTGAGGTCCAGCTCCGACGGCCTTCTGGTGGTTCCCTCACTGCAAGAAGCGAGGTTATAGGGAACCAGGCAGAGGGCCTTCTCGGTGGTGGCGCCCACCCTGTGGAATGCATTCCCACCAGATGTCAAGGAAATAAACAACTATCTGACTTTTAGAAGACACCTGAAGGCAGCCCTGTTTAGGGAAGCTTTTACTATTTGATGCAAGAAACCCTCACTGCAAGAAACCAAGTTACAGGGAACCAGACAGAGGGCCTTCTCGGTAGTGGTGCCCGCCCAGTGGAACACCCTCCCATCAGATGTCAAAGAGAACAACAACTACCAGACTTTTAGAAGACATCTGAAGGCAGCCCTGTTTAGGGAAGCTTTCCATGTTTAACAGACCACTGTATTTTAAAACTCTGTTGGAAGCCACCCTGGGGAGACCCAGCCAGATGTGCAGGGTATAAATTATTATTATTATTATTATTATTATTATTATTACCTTTTCTCTAAACTAAAAAGTCCTGAATGCTGGAACCTTTCTTCAGAGGGCAGTCCCTTCATCCCGCTGAACATTTCAGTGGTCCTTTTCTGAACCTCCTCTCTGAATTCTGACCCTATATCTGAATGTGCCTAATGACCATCCCTTTCCAGACCCTAAAAGGAGCTCAGAGAAGCCATCCCCTGCTTGGCCTATAAAATGGTCCGACGCTCCTGTTCCCAGCAGAAGCTCAGTGCAACTTTACACAGGCAGTGAAAACTGAGATGTCCCCATTTGCAAAGGGATTTTGCTATTTTTATGTAACGAGCTGAGCCCAGTGAGGAAACCTTTTGTTTCCTGGACAAAATGCCTGAATTACAGATGAGGAAATTTCAGTGGATAATCTCTAAAGCAAACAAGCCAGGATAAGGGAAAGCCAATCCCTTTGCTGAGCTAGAGAGGTGTTTTCTCCCACCCAAACTTAACACCTCTCCCTGCAGTTTTATAACCACAACGATAAGCAAACAAACAAACAAACAAACAAGTTTGCACTCAAAAATATTTGGCTGGAGGATTTGTATGCCAAACCTTGACTGGGGTTTCCGGCCACTTAAGAAAGACTCCCTTTTGTACACCTGGAGCATTTAAGGGCAAGCAGGAAATGAAGAACTGAAGATTCCTGCCTTGCAGGGGGTTGGATTAGATGACCCCAGGCTCCCTTCCAGCCCTGCAGTTCTATGATATAAAAAGGTCTTCAAGAGCAGCCCCTCTGAGTGTCTTTGGTTTCTGATTTGATTCCAGAATCTCACACTTTTCCTTAAAGGTAAAGGTAAAGGGACCCCTGACCATTAGGTCCAGTCATGGCCGACTCTGGGGTTGCAGCGCTCATCTCGCTTTACTGGCCGAGGGAGCCGGCGTACAGCTTCCGGGTCATGTGGCCAGCATGACTAAGCCGCTCTGGTGAACCAGAGCAGTGCACGGAAATGCCGTTTACCTTCCCGCCAGAGTGGTACCTATTTATCTACTTGCACTTTGACGTGCTTTCGACTGCTAGGTTGGCAGGAGCAGGGACCGAGCAACGGGAGCTCACCCCGTCACCGGGATTTGAACTGCCGACCTTCTGATCGGCAAGTCCGAGGCTCTGTGGTTTAACCCACAGTGCCCCCCACGTCCGCTTTTCCATAGGAAGTCCCTATTTTCATCAGAGAAATGTTGGAGGGTATGGAGTTATGCGACCCCTGAGCCAAGGAGATAAGCAACTATACAGCCTTTGGAAAACAGCTGAAAGCAGATCTGGAAGTTATTTAATATTCAATGTTTTATTATTTTATATGTTTTGGAAGCCGCCCAGAGTGGCTGGGGTAATCCCGTCAGATGAGCAGGGTATAAATAGTATTATTATTATTATTGATGTCCCTATTTTTATGGGAGAAATGTTGGAGGGCATGCAAGAGATGACTACACCTGGAGTTGGCTCTCCCTGTCACCTTCCTCCTCCTCCTTAGCCTCAGAGTTGCCCTTGTAAAACTCAACAAAGGAGAGAGGAACAGAGCCAAAAATCGAGGATTAGCTGACTCCTCCTCTCATTGGCTGCGCCTAGCAGTGCCTCTGGCTCCCCCTGCTGTTTGCCTCCCTGCCTTTTCCCCTATCAGCCCCCAAAGGCTCCAGCTGCCAATGCTTTTGCGTAGCTGGAAATGATGTATCCTACTGACACCGGTGGCTCTTTCCCCCTCCTGGGCCTGCGTACTTTTGTTCCTCCGGCCTAACGCACCATTGGCACATAGCCACTGGAAAGTTGTCCTGCAGGATGGACTATTGCCTTCCAAAGACTGGAACACACCCTCCACCCCTGGTTTACGACGAAGGATCACCACAGGCGACCACTTCGAGTGCAGCCTGTGCAAGGCGAACTAGCTGGCTATCATCGCCTCTTAAGCGACGAGGAAGCCCCTGGCAAGGGGGCGGATGGGTGATAATTTTCCATAAACAAGGCTGAAACGGCCAACTCATTTCCCGCTTGCTCTACATTATTTTGTCAGTACATTTTGCTAAGAGCTCTGGGTTTAAACAGGGCCTGTCTGTTCCTTGGCTTCTCGCGGAGGTAATTTTCTTCTCTTGACAGCTTGTCCAACGTTCTCCGGTGCCAAGAGAGAGAGGAAGACGGGCTCCTTTTCTGCCGACTTCACTGCTGCTCCAACAAGCTGCTGCCGTTGTTCATCTCCCTGCCATGCGAAGAGGCTGGCTGGGGCTTCCGAGATTTTCCTTCCAGTTCCAGACCAGTTTCCCCTGCCTGATATAATTCCTTGATTTCTTGAATTAATATCCTGCCCCTCCTCTCAAAGGAGAGTGGCGATGGCATGATGTCATTTTCAAAATATTAAAAAGGTAGAGGTAAAGGACCCCTGACAGTTAAGTCCAGTCGTGAACGATTCTGGGGTTGCGGTGCTCACCTCACTTTATTGGCCGAGGGAGCCGGCGTACAGCTTCCGGGTCATGTGGCCTGCATGACTAAGCTGCTTCTGAGGAAACCAGAGCAGCGCACAGAAATGCTGTTTACCTTCCCGCCAGAGCGGTACCTATTTCTCTACTTGCACTTTGACGTGCTTTTGAACTGCTAGGTTGGCAGGAGCAGGGACCGAGCAACGGGAGCTCACCCCGTCATGGGGACTCGAACCGCCGACCTTCCAATCGGCAAGCCCTAGGCTCAGTGGTTTAGACCACATCGCCACCCACATTAAAAACAATTGAAATCATCTAAACATAGGAATGTAACCCACAAGCAGGAATTTGAGCACCAGAAACTGCTCTCCTACTCTGATTCAAGTGGGATTCAGAAGCATCACTTCCTCTGATTGGAAGCGAAGCAGAGCCATGGCTAGTAGCCATCGATAGCCCTCTCCTCCCTGCATTTGTCTAACCCTCCGTTAAAGCCATTTATGTTGGCGGCCAGCACTGCCTCTTGTGGCAAGGAGTTCCACAGTTCCCCTCTGCACTGCATGAAGGAGAACTTTCTTTCTTCTGTCCTGGTTTCTCTGGTTGTGGGGTGTATGTGTGTAAACAGCGACGTTGGAAGGAAATGGAATTCAAGTTCCCGCAGTGATAATTACACGGCTGTTCACACAGAGAAAACAGTGTTTGACAACATAATCTTGGGATTGATACGCCAATTAATTCGCACGGTAGTGTAATAAAAATCCATTGTGCAGATTCAGTGAACAGGTGAAAGCGCTGTCTCTCTCGAGGCGTTGCAATAAAACACCCTTAAGAGCTCACTTAAAAGGGGCAACGAGGTTTTCCCACGATTGAGGCACCTCACCCTAAAGAGGCTCTTTTGCGTAAACACGCTTTTTTAACTCTACAAGTCGCACCATGGCTGGAGGGGGCACAGCAAGAAAAGCCCTGGAAATGGGTGGCGATCGTGTGTAGAGTCATGTGAGAAATAGTCATTCTTGAGCTCGTTTAGGGTTTTAAGGGAGAAAATCAACATCTCAAATGGAGCCCAGGAAATAGATTGGCAGATACTATTAGAGAGTAGCTTCACTAGTTCTGGGTTTTTTTGTGTGTACGGGTGATGATTTATGCTCATAACACGATTGGGAGAATGATATGCGACCCCACTTTTTAAAAAAATATATTTTTTAAGAATTTCAACATACAAACTATCGAAACATATTATATTCATTATTTTCCTCCTTTCCCCCCCTTCAAACCCTCCCACCCCCGCAAGACTTCCCTCAGCTCCTCTCTCTGATTTCTCAGCACATATTGTTCTCTGTTTGTTATGAAATTATACATATCCTTAGGTTATCTATCTACCATGTTGTTGTTGTTGTTTAGTCATTTAGTCGTGTCCGACTGTTCGTGACCCCCTGGACCAGAGCACGCCAGGCACTCCTGTCTTCCACTGCCTCCCACAGTTTGGTCAAAATTTGATCAAAATTTGATCTACCATGTTATCAACCAATAAATTTGTGTATGTTTATTCAAAACCTGCCAAGGAGTCCAGTTCATTTTGTTTTAGCTAATTTTAGCTAATTTGTAAAAAGCTCCCATTCTTCCTTAAAGTCACAGTTGTCCTTGTCCCACAGTTTGTATGTCAGTTTAGCCAATTCTGCGTAATTCATCAATTTTTCTTGCCACTGTTTTTTCATTACTTTCAATACTATGGGCGTCTGCAAAGGCGTCGGGGTGGGTGCCCTACACCCTTGTGGAAATTAATTGAAACTAACATATACATACATTAGTAATGGATATGACCTCCGCTATTTTTAATAATAATAATAATAATAATAATAATAATAATTTTTATTTATACCCCACCCTCCCCAGCCAAGGCCGGGCTCAGGGCGGCTTACAAGCAATAATAAAAACAAGTTGAATGATTACAACTTAAAAACAAAATTAAAATACAACATTAAAATAATGAAACATTAAAATATTAAAATGCAGCCTCATCGCAGGAGGAGAAGGAAAAGAAAAAAGAGAGGGAGGGAATCAAATTGGCTCCAAGCCAAAGGCCAGGCGGAACAACTCTGTCTTACAGGCCCTGCGGAAAGAAATCAGATCCTGCAGAGCCCTGGTCTCATGAGGCAGAGCGTTCCACCAGGCCGGGGCCAGTGTTGAAAAGGCCCTGGCTCTGGTTGAGGCTAATCTGACTTCCTTCGGGCCCGGGACCTCTAGGGTGTTGCTATTTATGGACCTTGAGGTCCTCCACGGGGCATACCAGGAGAGGCGGTCCCGTAGGTATGAGGGTCCTAGGCCATGAAGGGCTTTAAAGGTCAAAACCAGCACCTTAAATCTGACCCTGTACTCCACCGGGAGCCAGTGCAGCTTGAAAAGCAGCATTTGAACACTGTTTGGCATGGAATCTAGTAGTTTCGAACAGTCACTGTTGATTTTCGGATCCTCAGGGTCGCTTCCAACTCTACAATTCTATGAAAATTATGCATGACAAGGAGAAGTGGATATAGAGAAAACCTCGCCCAACTTAACAGTAGAATTTGTAGGCATCCAATGAGCTGAACGTTGGAAGACTCAAGGCAGATAAGGGTACTTCTTCACACAGCCCACAGTTGGACTATGGAACTCCCTGCCACAGGAGGCAATGATGGGCGCCACCATGAGCATCTTTAAGAGAGGATTGGACAAATTAATGGAGGAGGGTTGGGATTTTGGTGGCTGCTAGCTAGGCTCTGCCTCCACAGTTGGGCACAGCAATGCTTCCTATTACCAGCTGCTGGAAATTTCAGTAGGGGAGAGCGCTTTGGGGGATTGGGTCCTGTTTGCGGGTTTCCTGTCGGCATCTGCTTGGCCCTTGTGAGAACAGGATGCTGGACTAGATGGGCCATTGGCCTCATCCAGCAGCCTTTCCTTTATGCCCTTAATTTATATCCCTGCCCTTTGCCCTCTGTGATTTCTCAATCTCAAACCAGGGCAACGCACCAACTCCACGCCCATTGCAACACAATCCCTCTGGCAATCTAATTGTCTGACGAGTTTCTTTTGCTCCACGTCTGTGACCTGGGAAGATCCCGCCTGATCCCAGCGGCGGTGGCTTTGTTGGCGAGCACAGCGTGAGCGACACAGGAGAGAGGAAATACAGGAACGAGGTAAAGCGATATCTTTATATCAGGGCATCTTCTGTTTGTGTAAAAAGCATTAACATGACACAGAGCTCGCCAGGCAGGCCTCAGCAGCTGGGCCCAGGGAAGATTTCTGAAATATACTCGGAGTCGAGAGTGGATCTCATGCTCTTTATTCAGCTCATAGTGGTGAGGAGGAATGGAAGTTCCCCCACAATGTCTGCCTTATATACATTATTTACACAATGCGCCCCACGTGATTGGCTAATTCCGGGATTCTCCTGTAGGCCAATCAGGTTGTGGATTCACTTCCACCTGGAGCTGGATTGGGTGGCTCCTGTGGACCAATCAGACTGCTGCATTCTGGATCCTATTGTTCTAGGGCCAATCAGACTGCTGCATTCTGAATCCTATTGTTCTAGGATCAATCAGACCACTGCATTTTGGATCCTATTGTTCTAGGACCAATCAGACCACTGCATTCTGGATCCTATTGTTCTAGGGCCAATCAGACTGCTGCATTCTGAATCCTATTCAACTCAGCACATAACAATTTCTGTGTAGACTAGAAATACACCCACATAAGTTTTTCTGGCAAAAGATGGCAATTCATTGTCCTTGCTCTTTTCCTCTGCTTTGAGCCACGCTATTCTTGAATCCCATCCCAGCTTCCCATTGCCAAAGAACGTGGCTCATCTCTTCTCAAGAGCCACCCCCTAGTTTTGCCAAAGCCCTTTCCCGCTTTAAAATAGGAGTGTGTAGCCTTTGACCTGCCAGCTTTGGTTGGACTACAATTCCCATGAGCTCTGGTGCACCCTGTTTTTGTTTTTTCTTAAGGGGTGATGCCAGAGAAAGGGAACAACTTCATCCAGCCTGGTTCCAGCCACTTGCAGTTTTCCTAACGGCTTATATTGAAAAGCAATTGCATTCAAAGCAATGAGCAAACTGGGGGGTCCCTTCTGAGACAAACTCGGTGAAATCAGTTTAAAAAAAGACAGACGTTTAAAATGAATAACAACCTAAGGAGAACTTTCTGGATCAGGCCAAAGGGGGCTAATCCAGTCCAGCATCTTGTTCCCCCACTGGCCACCCAGATGCCACAAGGGAAACCTGCAAGCAGGATTTGAACACAAGATCACTCTCCCCTTCTTTGGTTTCTAGCAACTGCTATCCAGAAGAATCGCTGCCTCTGACTGCTGAGGGCAGAACTCAGCCATCCTGGCTACTATCCACCAAGAGACTTCTCCTCCATGGATATCTCCAATCCCCTTTTTGCAGCCATCCAAATTGGTGACCATCACTTCCTCAATATAGTTAAAGCTATGGTTTTCCCAGTAGTGATGTATGGAAGTGAGAGCTGGACCATAAAGAAGGCTGATCTCCGAAGAATGGATGCTTTTGAATTATGGTGCTGGAGGAGACTCTTGAGAGTCCCATGGACTGCAAGAAGATCCAACCTCTCCATTCTGAAGGAAATCAGCCCTGAGTGCTCACTGGAAGGACAGATCGTGAAGCTGAGGCTCCAAGACTTTGGCCAGCTCATGAGAAGAGAAGACTCCCTGGAAAAGACCCTGATGTTGGGAAAGATGGAGGGCACAAGGAGAAGGGGACGACAGAGGACGAGATGGTGGGACAGTGTTCTCGAAGCTACCAGCATGAGTTTGACCAAACTGCGGGAGGCAGAGGAAGACAGGAGTGCCTGGCGTGCTCTGGTCCAGGGGGTCA